ATGCTAAATTGTGCTGTGTTCCGTCGGTTAGACAGTTCATTGTGTTCTTGGGTTGTATTACACGAAATCGGTGCCATGCATTCGCCGACGGACTTTGCCGAGCAATGGAGGTTGGCACGCGGGTTCAGCCACAGAAGCTGCCACCGGAAAGCGGCACGGAGGCAGCGGAGCACGGAGATGATCCTGAGCACCAGGAGATCCCGATGCTGCCGAAAATCGTGGCCCCACCCGCGCTGACTCTTGGATACATATCGCCCAAAACTGAGGATGCCTTCTCAGGATCATGATTAACATATAAGTTGCCATCGTTTGACAAGCTAGCGGCTCCCAGTCCTTGCGCAGTAGCCAGTAGCATTGCTGCGACAAGGAATTCTACCGCCAGAGGGTCATGTGACAGGCAGCGGTTGTGGATACTTGGTATCGCCGTGCCCATCGTCTTATTCTTCTGCCTTTGTATCATGGTGCCCTTGGTTTCGACAACCTGGCTCGCCTTAATGCGCTTGCTCCGACAGCCACCATGTCCTCGCAACATGCGACATGCATTGTGCAACTGGGGCCGCTACCACAGGGGGACCTTTGGCCTTCAGGGTTCGCTGGTGCCTTCAACGAAAAATCCGTTGTGGGTGGACCCAAACTCGACTGTTGCCCATCAATCCATGACCGATCTCGTGGGCATCCTGCAGCAGAGCCAGCCAGAGGATGTGCACAAGAACTTGTGCCATTTGTTTGAGGAGTGGTTGCCCCGAGTGGGCATGAACGGGTGGATCGATTTACTTTCTGGCATGGAGCAGGCCAGTGAGCAGGACTCCGGAGATGTGTGGGGCATCGATTTGGACGAGTTGTCCTCGGAATTGCTGGACATCTCAGTAGACTGGAAGCATGATCTTGGCGCCTACATCGTCGGCCGGCTTCAACCCCATCTGCTGGTGCCTCCTGGCTCAAACCAGCATAGCAAGCAGGCTCGCACTATCTGGTAGCCTGGTGGCCATATCTTGCTTGCTTCTCTGATTCTAGCTTCACGAATGCCCACGCTGCTTCCATCTATTCATTACTGAGCAAGGAGTGGCCGGGGCTACTTGTGGCACGCCGCGGCCCAGCTGACCTCAGCACTTCCTTTCATGCGCTTGTCCTTCGGCTGCCTTTGAAGGTGGAAGTGGCCGGTTCATTGAAACTGGGCGGCGCCCCGCTACACGCTGTCACTTGGGCTGCAATGCTGGCCTTCCTGGAGGCCCAGAGCGGGATCTCTATGGGAACGGTTGCTGGTATGCAGTACTGTGAGATTACATCCTATGTAGCTGGACTAGGGATTTCAGAGGAATTCTTTATCAACTCCTTTTTCCTTGCTTGCGTCCTGTAACTGCTGCTGGGAGCGGTCGAGGGCTGTGGTTGCAGATTTGCAGCACCGAAAGCCGCCCAGCCCCTGCAGTGGCCCCGGAGGCCTCCGAGTGGTCCAATGCATCCGGACTGTGGGATTTTGCCATGGGACACATCTGCTCCGCCTTTCAGCAGGAGAAAATTGCACGACGTTAACGGTTTCTGACTTTCCTGGAGACTGAAGCCAATCGACCTTGCGAGGAACTGCCGGGCCTCTTTGTGCACTGTATACATGGCTTTGGACATGGAGCTATGCTTGCCGGTATCGTGCTTGGCTTGGATGCAGGCGGCGGGAAACCCATAGATGCCATAGCTAAAGACGCATGCCCGACGAATCATTGCGCATCAGCGATCCGCAATCCCGGCGACTGCTCGATATCGCATTTTATCTGTAGAAGGCCGGTAGGACAGACCAATGAGCATGTTGCAGATTCTTGTAGGCGCAAGATACTAAAGTTTGACCTGGAGTCGAAAGCCAATCCCTTGACCTCGAAACTTGCGGCTTTTCAGGCCAGCGATCGACCTACACGTCTCGACCTGCATGCGAGCGTGTGCGAAATGGAACTTCGGGCTACGAGCTGTCGATACAGATGCTGCTCGGGCAAGCTTGCAGAGCTTCGTGTTTTTTTGAACGGACCAACTACTCACCGACAATAGCTGCCGCCATGACTATACTTGCTGCCGCAGCAAAACTGTTCTCGTGCTTCGTTCCAGAAAGCAGTGATTGTGCTTACATTGCACATGTACTGTCCCTCGCTCTCGCTCTATATAGAGTGTACATGCCCAATGCGCAAGACAGCTGAGGCTGAACAATGCCATGGGAATTTGCCGCTCAAGCCAGTCTCCGCAACTGGGTGCTTCGGTTTGACAGTCGCAGTTTCCATTGCCAAGTCATGGGGGATTGTGACGTATTGTGACGTTGCACCCCGAGGCTACATTTGTGCCGGAGGTGCCTTCATGGAGTTTTGGAAGACGCGCGGTAAAGGTTGGACTCCAAAGTACGACGGCGATTCCCTGCCAAACGAGCAGATTGCAGAAGTGGAGGTTGCTCAGCAGTGGTCATCTCCAGAACGAACCCACCAGGCCGCCAGGTGCTAACATACACAAGTAGGAACAGGCATCTTGAGGCGCTGAACCCTGAGTTCTGGGACCCTACCTAGGCAGGCCGAACTTGCAGTGTGAGTGTTGCTTTGATTTGCATTCAATTTCGGTCAAAGCTGTGCCGCAGGCGGTGGAGAGGCGAAGTGGGGAAATGAAAACTTGGATGTGGCCTGGCAAGTGAGTTGAAGGTTACGGGTGGGTTTAGGCCCTGGTCGCCGAAAAGGGTCTGGTGATAGGTTTCGGTAAGTGCTGGTCGAGTCAATTTATTGAGAAACTCCCAACATGCTAAGATTCCCCAAGCATGTTCCAAGGTTCGAGCACAGCTGTGCATTTGCAAGTTTGTCGGCAGCCTGTTTTCGCTTTGAGCCGGGCCTTGGTGTGGAGCATCAGCAGCTCGAATGGACTACAGGTATTGGTGGAAGTTCCGAATTTTTCTGCCATGCCAGAAGGCAGCCGATAAGCGGGCTTCTGCCGGCAAGAGCTGTAGATATCCCCTGGCACTGAGGGCGAATAGCTTCGAGGCCTTGGCCGACGTGGAGCTCTACGAGCCGTGCACTCAAAGCATTTGGAGCTCTGGGGTCAGCTGGGACCTGGAGCACCTGCGCGGATGTATTCTGGGACGCTCCTTTTCATTGTCCCTGGGCCTGAACTGCTACAGACACGCTGAAGGTCCGACAGCCAAGAGTGAGAAAAAGCCTTCTATCGAGGTACAAGCATTTCGACCTCTGGCGCTATGGGCGAGTGGCTCGGCACCTCGACACGGCACGTCCTTCCGAAGAGAGGTTGCCTACATTGGCGGAGTGGTGTTCCATGTACGAACCCGCAGGCCGGAGCAGTTTGGTTTCAGGGTTCCGTCCCCAAGCCTGCAAGCTGTTGCTGCGCAAAAGCCCCTGTGCTATCGTGCACGAAGTCGACCCGGCAGGCCTGAACCAAAGTCATGCTCAGCCACACAGCCGCAATTATTGGGTTTTCTCCTTCCTTTGGATTTAGGAGCATGGTTTAGAAAGCTGCTTTGGGGGCAGGCCGGAAGGTCCCGGGCTCAGGCTAATGGCTAGGGTGACAAGGATCTGATCAGGCTTATGCTGTTAGTTGTGTTTCTGGATGTTTCTGGTTCTGCCGTACAGCTGATTGCCGGTCAGGGGCGACATCAAATTGAAGTTCCCACTGCTGCCGGGTGTCCGGTCGTACAGCAACTGGCTAGCATGCATTGCTGGCTCCATGGCGCATGTCGCCTTCGTGGCCACCTGGATGCAGCATGATGCGGTATAGCATGCGGCTGGAGGGAATGTTGAGAAAGCTCACAATAAAGAACACCCTTGAATTTGGTTTCGGCGTGAAGGTGGAAGGGGAAGCAATCAGCGACTCTGTGGTGCAGCAGCACTGTGCTCAACTTGACGACCTGTCACATGGCTTGGGTTAGCCTTCGGTCTGTGAATTTAACTGAATGTAACAGTAAAAATTTAAATCAATATTGACAGTGGTGCAGGTTTTGCTATGCATAGAGGCGTAAGAACCACTGAGACTTTTGAGTTTTGCGTTTGCGACATGTTAGGCAATATTAGGTGTAGTACGGTTGTCGTTTTGTTACATTTTGTTAGTCTTGATACAGTCACAGCGATGTTTAGGCTTCTTTTAGTTGTTTTCGTCAGCAGATTTCTAGAACTTGGGCTGCCAATTATGAGTCGGCTTCTTGCGTTGGCACCATAATGGACCATACTGTTTTCAAGATGATGGCAAGAAGGACAATGCATCCGTGCGCTTCGTCCTCCCACTGGACTCAGGGTTTCGTTTGATGGCTTACTGTAAAGGACCCGCGCAAGCCTTAGGTAAGGTACTGGTTGAGATTCTTGGAACTTTTGCTGCATGCTTGTCCTTGAATTGGAGACTACGCTGCTCACCTGCAAGGCAGGGGCGACAGCTTTGCATTGACATCGGCTTGAGCAGACATCTGCGCAACCTGTCAGATTTGCGTATTTGGCCCATTGAAGTTCTGGAGCAGGAGGTGGTTCACAACTTTTGAGCCGAAGACGCTGAGATGCCGTCCACCGCATTCCGCCGCCAGGAGCAGAACCCGACTGCCGGATGGGAGCGCCACATCCTTGCGACACCTTGCTCCTCCGGAAGCCTGTCAATCGTGAGCCAGATGTTGACTGGATAATGGTGGTCACGGAGTACGAGGGCAGCTGTCGCATCCCACCACCTCGCCGATTTGCGGATTTGCGAACCACTCTGTGCGTGTTTGTATTTGTTGTCGGCCTGGCCTCGCATCTTCCGAACCGTGCTGGCCAGTAGCATCCTGCAGACCTGGCATTCGACTTCCAAAGGACGACTTTTGCGCACTGCATGTCCACCGGTGTAGTACTTTTTTGCGGACTAGACGGTCGCAGTAGGGCGCTGACGCATCAAAAAGCATGTGCATGCGGATATTGGAAGCCCGGTCCTTCAGGGCTAGGCGGGCTAGGGAACGAGCACCCGTCTAGCTTTCCCGGCTTACCGGCGTTGTTGCTCTCTCAAGGGCGTTGGTCATGCCGCCCGAATCGCAGCTTAGCCCTTTGTCTCTTTTACCTGTTGCAGCGATGTTCTCGAAACTTACTTTGTGCTGGGCTGCTCTGCCACTTGCTGCCGCATTTCTCCCGGCACTGCAGCTGGACGACGAATGCCAAACAGGCGAGTGCGCGCTGGAAGCTCTGCAACTGAAAGGCGGCCTCGTGGAGGACGCAGATACAGATAGCAGCTGCGAGGATAGTACTGGTGGTGCCTGCATGGACGACGTCATGTGGGCGAAGAACGAAGGGATTCGCAGCCATCCGGACTGGTACCCCGGCCTCTCACAAGGTTCCAGTCGCTTGGCAAATCTCAATCCAGCTCAACACGGAAGCCTCTCTGCGAGCGGCAGTATGGACCCAAAGCACGCATGAACATGCATGAACCCAGAGACGGGGAGAGAGTCGAGCCGATCACGTCGTCTTAGACTTGTTGCATTTGATCCGAGGCTTGCCAGAATTCCAATGCCAAGTATACAAGGCCAACCCTGCCAAGTGCCCAAAGCCGTGCAGTGTTTCCTGCGCTGGGCCCGTGGCACAGCCCAATCGATCGCCCACCGTTGTTGCTCCGAGCTGCGACTCTTGCCAAGGAGAATCTGGAGCAAATGATTTTGCCGCAAGAACAGTTGTAGTCTGGCCTGGCTTTGCGAGTAGCCAAGAATGACTGTACTGTAGCCTCAACAGTAGCAGGAAGCACCCACCACAGGCACTCGGCTGCATGGCAAAGTTGTTTTGCCACAAGCCCTGCTGAGCCAAGGCGGGCAAGGAGCAGCAAGATGCTTGCCTCTGCGTCTTTGACATTGATCGAACTCTAACCTCCAAGCAGGGCCAGAGTGTGCCTCGCCCGAGCTTACGGTGTTGCAGGCATGTTCGGGACATCGGCCCTTCAGAGGAAGAAACAAGTGTTAGTGCCTGCACGACAGTTACGCTGTTTTGAATATTTGTGTACTGGTGTGTGTGTCTCTGTGTGCGTGTGTGTGTGTGTGTCTCTCTCTCTCTCTCTCTCTCTCTCGTCTCTATGCATGTACACAAAACAGAGAGAGAGAGAGAGAGAGAGACGAGGTAGGTCTCACTAAGTGCCTTAACGCCTCAATGCAAGCAGACCAACCGGGTCCCTCTCGGGGGAGAGAGGTCCTGGTAGCCTCGTGGCAGCTAACACTGCGGAAAGAAAGAGAGGCGCCTGTCGCCGGGACGGGCGCAATGCTCTCGTCCTGCAGCCGGAGCAAGCAAGACAGGGCATACTGGTTTGACGAGCGAGCTGCCAGGACTGCTGACACCTCAACCTCTGATACGGCAGGTTTGATGAATTTTCTTGCCGTTTGTGTTGCGGGCTTCTTCCCACTCTGGCGGCCACGTCTTCCTGAAGCGTGAAATCCTTATCTCATCTTATCTCGAGTCGTAGCCTCGGAAGCTGACAGGCTGGGCGCCTCGTAGTCCTGCAGCATGCAGAGGTCGCTCCTGGCTGTCTCCTCTATGGTGCCCAGCGAGCTTCGCAGTACCCGCCTGATGTCCCTAGACTTGGCGTCTGGACTGTAGTTTTCGGACACGAAGATTCCGGAGAAAGTTCTCTTGGCTTCTTCCCGACGTCACAAAACCGGAGGCCCCGTACGAGTCCAAGCTGAAACAGTCCCTTGACAAGGGCGTCACAAGGAGCCGTGTTCTTTGGGCTGGCTTGAGCAAGAAGATTTGGCAGCTTGGCTCCACCAGAGCCTTCCGGGCGGAGCCTCCCGCAGATCTGCGAGAACGTGGTTGAACAGGTGTCCGTGCAGACAGCCACAACCAGCGAGCATGTGGGCGTGGTGCGACCCATAAATGCGTGAAACTAGGGTGCTCTGCCATGTGCACTAAACCTAGACGCACCTTTTACTACGCGCGATCGCCTCCTGGCCTACAAAGGGGACCTCCTGGACGCTGACGAGACTCACCTCGCGGAGCTGCCTTGCGTAGTAGTCTGTCCTACAGAGCATCTTGCCAAGGTCCTTGAGATGTTCCTGCACATGTTCATGAGGTTCTACCATGGTCCCCTCTGTCTCGACACGCATCTGAACTCGCAGGAAAACTAAGCTCATGGAGCTGCCCGCATCCTCAGGGAACAGATGATCCTTCGAGCAACAGTCACCGGCTCTCAGCTCCTCTCTGGTATCCATTACTGCAGAAACCGAGAGCACACGAAACTAAGAACGAAGGTGTAAAAGCAAGACACCCGCGCCGACTTGCATCAGTTTGGACCTCTGATGCCTGCTTTTCCTTGCGCGACTCCGATGACAGGACTCCTGTTCGCACTTCCCTCGCGAAGCGGGAGAGGTCTGTGGCACGAGCTCCTGCAGCCCTCCGAACGCAGATAGCTCCCCATCCTTCCACACTCCATTGCACTCATGTTTGCCAGGGTTGTTTTCTTGGCACGCCTTTGCGCAGCCCCCGCCTCTACAGCTGCAATGTGCAGTCCGCCGAATCTGTTTCAGTTTTCATGCCGACATAGAAAAAGGACCATAGCGCAAGCTCGTGCGGGAGGTCAGGTGTCCGCCTGCTCATCGCCTTTATGCTTTTGGAAAGAGCGCGAGTTCCCTCCGTTTCTTCCCTGGGTGGCACATACCTGTACGGCCAACGTGCAAGGGGAGAGTGCCGAGAGGGGTTACCTGCCGACTCGCGGAACGAAAGAGAGAGAAAGCAAGCGACGGCCTGCAGATCTTCGTTTGGCAAGTACTTATGCATCCAGATACCTTATATAGGAGTTGTGACACGGGGCATAGCGTTGCTTATTGGTATACCAATCCGGGCATCCAGCCTGACGCTCGCACCTGTGGGTTGCAAGAATTCAGCCCAAAAGCGCATAGAGAACCGAGCCACAGCTCCATGCAGGATGTCTGCCCTGGTTCCAGTGCGTCAGATGGAATTGTCGACACCGCCTATGGAGGTGGCGATTTGGTGTTGTCCGCTTTGGCAGCTGCACGAACCCTGGCCTGAGCGACCAACACACGTCACGACGTGATAGCCGTTTATGTTTGAGTGCAAGAATCGTCCTCCGCAAACCGATTCCTTCGCCAGTCGCAAACACTCAAACACTGTGGTTTCCAGGCGTCATGCACAACCGTAACAGGACGACAGCATACTGTCTAGTACCATGGCGAAGGAGTTCTTCCCTGAAGCCTGTGCTGCATCAGTTCCGGAGGGTCAGCATTTATGCCACCGCCAGTTCCAGAAACAAGTGCTATTGTAGGTCTTTGGTGGCAAGGCCAATGGTTTATGCACTGTTTGCACATACCGTGTCCTAGCAAAGCATCAGAAAGCCGGAGAGATTTAATCAAGCGAGCCAGTCATGGTCGTAGAAATGTAATGACCTGTGCTGTGCTGTCCGAGGAATCGCCGGCACTTTCTGCCAGAAGTGCTACCTGGGCATTTGCTCTCACGGCGATGGCAGCGGGGCCAACTCTCGGGAACGCGAGGAGACCGTGACTGGAAGGAAGGGGATTTCCTTTACACATTTGTACACCATAGATAGCGTTGCGCTGCATTGGTACCATTGCTTACAAGTGCCCTAACTATGGCTGGTTGTTGGGCGCCCTGCGCTGACAGCTTTAAACAGCACCTCTCGATGTTACAGCCAAAATTTAGATGCTCAAACTGTGCACGGACTGCAGCCCGGAGCACCGCCCGATACCGCCCGACCTCGTCGAGCCGAGTTGCGAAGTATTAGTTACTAGCCAAACTGCAGAAGGTCGCTACACACGGTGTCTACCAGCATCTCATTGTAGCAAACCCTGAGAGCGCACCATTGCTTCTCAGCATGATTCCATGAGCACAGAACGACTTAGCTCTCCTGAAGCCAGTGAACATTTCAAATCATCTGGACGGCAGGAGCTCTTGCACCAGGCGGAATGCAATATTTTTTAGCGACATGTTCAGGGGTGACGTCGGGTTGACAGTCTTAACTGTCAGTGTTATTGCAGAAGGCAGGGCTTTTCACAGAAAAGTTTTCTGAGTGGTTGTAGCGATCGACATGTGCCATACATATGCAGCTCTTCTTCGGGAATCGTTGCGACAATTAGCTAGCATGCTGTTCGACTTTCAGCAGCTGACCCAACGAAGTCACGGCGCGAATGAAACTCAGGTCTTGCGGAGCGATGCAATGGATAAGTTCCAGATGAAGCCGCAGAACGCGGCATGGAGTGCTACTTGCGCGCACGCAAATTCACGAAGAAGAATCGAATCATAGGTCCCGAGCTTTCCCTTGCCATCCATAAGGACATGAAGCTCCTGTCTGCGGCTTACGGCAGACTCGGGTAGACCCTGGCGGCGCTTGGCGAGTGCACTACTTCGATCTGCTGAGGTCGCCCTACGTCGTCTCGCAACCAGACGGACGAAAGCAGGATGCTGTCGCTCAGATTTTGGAGTGGTGCCGGCCCAAGCCTGAAAGCCTGAAGCGAACTCAGCTCATGTCTGTCCGTAGATCTAGCGAGACAGAGCTTGACTTCTGCATATTCAATTTTGAGCTGCGCAGCATGCGTGCAGGTATGCATCTCAACAAGTGTGCATTCCGATACTTGGCTCTGCACTCATGCAGGCCTCTCGTAAAGTGATGGCTCACCCTTGGTCGGAGAGAGAGAGCTGGGCCAGCCAGTGGATAGAGCCACTGATGCGCGGGATCTGGCTTTACCGTGGTAAGGAAGAGCAACACGTACTTCTTCGATGATAAGGACGCCAACATCCTTCCCTTCCGAGGCCCAGGGGTTGGATGAGGTTGCCGCTCTTCTTGAGGCGTGAGCTGATGTTGAAATATCCGCCGTGCAACCTGAAAGGCTCCGTGTGCAGAGCTTGAGGCGTTTATGTGCGTTGTGACTCAGAGTCGGTTTTCTCTGTATTCCCGGTGATCGTGTGTGCGTCCATATAGCAGAAGGAGGGGGCTCTGCGAGATTTGCAGCAATCAGCGACGCTTAGACCTCCAGGCTCCAGAAGTGGAATCCTTGGCCGGACACTCCCAGGGTAATCAAGACTGGAAACGCAAAGGGCGCTTTGGTTGTGTCTTGTCAAGTGCGTTGTCTGGACTGAACGATCTGACATCCGTGCTAGCTGAATCATGTGGGAGACCACAAGCTTCACACCTGGCAGGAACTGGGATGAACGCCCATCAAATCTCCTGCGATTCTAGAGATCCTCAGCTTGGCTGGGGTGAGGTCGGTCGCTTGCCCGCATTCACAGGACTCCTCGTGTACTGCATCACTTAATCCTGTTTAGGAGCCGGGACTCGGCTGAGGGGTTTACTCGCTTAGTGGTGCACCGTATGTAGAATCTCAGTCGAAACTGTCGATTTACTGAAGCCGTTGGTGCGCATGTAAGGCAAGCATGTAGGTAAGGTCGGAGGTAGGATAGGTAGGTCAGGTAGGTCAGGTAGGTGGGTATGTAGGCAGGTCTGTATGTGCATAATTTGCATATTCAGGTATACAAGCAAACATATGTTATACCTGCTCTCCTCTCTTTCTCTCGCTCTCTCTCTGTCTCGGTCTGGCTGTTCGTCCGTCCCTCCGTTCGTCTGTTCGGTCGATGGATGGATGGATGGATTGGAAGATCGATAGACAACAGGTTGATAGATAGATAGATCGATAGAAGAAGTGGGGCAGATACACAATTTGATTTGACACCGACGTGGACGAGTATGTATATGTGCTACTTACTTCCACCTCATCATGTACACCTGCATTCAGCTTCGCAGTTCAACCCGCCGCATACGTTTACATGTATACTTATTACTGCACGTGCACATGCAGTTGGGCTGGTCCCACGGCATGTAGGTGGTAGTAGGTATGCGCAAGCTGGTCAGGTTTCTGCGGCGCAACACTCCCAGAGATCAGAGACCAGAAGGGCGTGACGGTTTGCAAGGTGTGGCTTTGTGGAGCCTCTTCTAAGCGTGTTTGCGTTCCCTAGCCGCTTGTGTGTGCGACCTACTCGTGAAGAACATGAACCCCGGAGCGAGGCTTTAACAAGAGCCTTTTGATGACTACGTCGAATCGAATGTAGGGACAAGAGCAACTCCTCAATTTGCAGATCGACTGCAAATGGTCGGACTGGTCTGCCTGGGGCGGTTGCTCGAAAAGCTGTGGCGGCGGATCCAGGCACATGCTGATATTTCCCGTCACTATGAGTTTGATTTGCAGTTTCGAGAGTTTCTGTCCGAGCCTCGGGACCTGCCAAATTCCGAGGCAGCGAAATCGGAGAATAATCATCAAGACAAGGAACGGCGGGCAGGACCGAATAGCCCAAAGCCCTCTCCCAGCCTTGAGCTCGAAGTGGACTTCGCTTCGAGGACTGCCCTGGCAGCGCATTGGACCACCAGGACGTTTCGAACTGCATAGGCTAACCCGGATGGCCGGCTAGCCCTCGGGTGATTGGGGACTTGGGGAGCAGAGCCGGGCATCCATCCAGTACCTGGCAGGAGTGCAATGCGGAGGCTTGCCCCACAACGACAACTACCACGACGACTACAACGACAACGACGACGACGACCGAGTCTGCGGCGGCTGCAGATGCGACCCCACAGGCAGATGACGAAGAGGACATTTCTGATGTTGATCGCAGCAACATGCAGTGAGCCAGCCCAAATGTACTATGAGATGTTGCATACCGTGCATCATCATGACCGCTTTGTTCAAAAGCTCCAGAGGAGAGTAAGAGAATCTGTTGTGCCGAGGAGGCCTCATAATGCCTTGGCCAGCTTTGATGGCTGCGAAGCGAAACTTTTGAAGGGTGCCCTGCAGCGGCAAAGTATGCAGATCAAAGGCATCCATGAGGTGCGAAGCAGTTGCAAAGCTTTGGGCTACCGTGCGCGAACTCGCATGGAGTCATCGTTTCCAGAGATGAACAGCTCGTGTTTCAATGGAGCTCTAGGAAATGGTAGTGGGCATCGGCCTTGTAGAACCCCGATGTCGCAAAAGTTAGTGAAATAATTGGTGAGTGAAATTCGGTTTTTCTCAGCAGAACAAAATGAGACGCAGGAGTTCTTGAGAGTTATTCCGAGATCTAGCCTTCCACACTTTCCCAAAATCCTGTCCGGGATTCTGAATATCTGTTGCTACCAACACCAACTTCGTTCAGCTTTAGCCCTCCCAGGCCTCGGCTCGTTGCACCCCTGCACGCTTCAGATTCACTGCCCCTTCTGACAGGGTCGTGAAGCATTTGGGGCTTTTGAGACACGGGACAGACGCACCTCCGATGTCATGTAGTTGCATGAGCTCCGGCACGCCTTTGAGCTATGTTATCCCGTGGCTCAAGCTTGTGGCCAAGGACATGTGACAATGCCCAAGAAGTGCTAACCGCTGATACCCCGGCCATCCTCTGCCATGAGCCAGCATGCCGAGAAAGACCACCAGCAGGCCCCACATGCCCCATCAAGTCAAGTGGTTTCTGTTTCAAGGGCAAGTGGCACCTCCCTTCTGCATGATGTCTGTAGTGTCTGATTTTCACGGCATGGTACAGCAGCTGGACAGTGGCGCGATGCTTGCAGCGACCTCGGGAAGCTTGTGGTTCTTGCTGTTCCGCATACACATGTATGGAACTAGGGAAAGACTTTGAGGCGTGGGCTGCGACATGGTTGTCCGAGAGCTTACAGTGTATGTTCTATTTGGTGCCGCCGGAGCGCCTGGCTCTCACCAGAGGAGAGAAGGTCCCAAACCTCATCGCAAAACATGGCTTCGTTGGGATCTGAGTCGTTCTGCTCCACCATACCGTCAGAATTTCTGGGTTGTCTTTCGCTGCAGCTGAGGGCATGTTCCTTCTCATGATTGCTACGGAGATTGGTGTCGGGACCGTCGTTGCCAAAAAGAGTCTGTATCGGTTCAACGACCTGCTGGCATCCATCTCTTCTGGCACTTGCCAGCAGCTTGTGGTGGCCTTAATGTCCAAGTTCGCAGATCCCAAAGCGGCATACCGGTTGGTGAATGACACTTGCCGCCTGGTCGACTTCGATGTGAAAGGCCGGCTGTGTCTGTTCAGATCTTGCAGTAGAAACTCGGTAGAAGATTCGCAGCTGCTCCCGCCTTTGTGAAGTGTCCTCTGACAATCGAACTTTTGCTGCCATGCCTTCAGTCTGAGAACTCATCCTAAACATGGGAAGACGGTTCACCAGGCAAGCCGCTGACAACATGGATTTGCCTTTTTCTTGGTATGGACCTGGCCTACTACTGGGCTCACCGGAGCATGCATGAGCTGCATACCGGATGGGCTGCCCACAGTGCGCACCACTCCGGTGAAGACTCTTGGTGCTTGAAGTGGGCGGACATCGCCTGTAGTGATTGTGCCTCGCTTGCGATTCTTAGGACTACAATCTAGCCACGGCACTTCGGCAAGGAGCTCTGCAGCCCATGATGACATGGATTTTTTCCTTGCCCCTTGCATGTGTCTTTCCGGCAGAGTCTATCTTGCTACGTGGATGCAGAGAGTGCAGCATTTGTTTGTCGATTCCGAATGGCCCTTCGTTCGCGGAGCCTTGAAGCCGTGTGCTTCGAGAGTCTGTCCTTCCATGTCGACAGCTCAGGATACATACACAGCTCAACACAATGTACCAGTTCTGGATTCACACAGAACTGTGCGGCCGCCTGGGCATTCTGGAATACGTTTTCAACACGCCCTTCCACCACAGAATGCACCACCGTCCGCCTGGCAACTGCAACTATGGTGGGGTCCTGATCCCTGGCTTTTTGACGAACTGTCGGTTTCGAAACAGAAAACCTCGACACAGATAAAGACTATCTTAAGCCTAAAGCTTGTCCAGAAGCGGACGATCTTCAAGAAAACGAGGATCATCTGGGACCGACTTTTCAGCACATACGAAGCTGAAACAGAGCGTCTGGATTATTTCGGGCTGGCACAGCCAGCGGGAACTTTCAATGCAGTGGAGTTGAACCTGCAGCACTGGCGCAAAATGGGCCGCTTTCATCTTCTACGCGGTGGCTGCTTCTGGCACCTGCTGCGCTCTTCGGTATCCAAGCGCCGCTGAGATGACCAGAGCCTACTGTAGGGATTCACTCCTCGAGTACTAGAATGTGAGGGGGAGTATCCGGCACTTCATAATCGTACTCAGGAGCTCACCACAAGTTTTTATGGACGCCGAGCCAATTGGTTCATAAGTATGCGGCCATGCTGGAGGATAAGAGTTCGTGGAGCTTGCCCGAGAAGGAGGCCGTGTAGAAGCAGTCGAGGGGTGTGCTCAGCCAAGGCTGATAGCTGCCATACCCAAGATCAGATGACTAAGTTTTAGACTTGCTTCGCCGACATGTCACGGCTTTGTTTGGCATCACACGCGGCGTGGGCATCCAGTTTCATGTCCTTCGTTTCAACACAGGTCAGACCAAAATATCGTGGAGCAGATTTACAGTTGATTCTCGGCAGTCAACCTTTTAAGTTGTTGGATATAGTTCGGTGCTCCGATGGTGTCCTCGGTATTGTGATACCCGTGGGCCGTTGGCTTCTGCTTGCTGCTCGTAAACGTGTCCTGCAAGTAGTTTAAATCTTTTGATGTGCTTCATCGCTTGGCAGCCGAGGATTGGCAAAGCTGTTGCCATCGCAATGTACCTCGGCGGCTTCGTGTGCTTGCAGAGGGCTGACAAGCCGGACCAGCGGGCGAAACTCCAGCTGCTGTGTGCAGCGGCCGGAGGCTTCACTTGGCTGCAAGCACTGGGTAGCTCGGCATACCTCGGCCAACTCTAATCGGCATTTGCATCACAACTCACAACGTGAAGCATCGAGAGTGTGCCAACGCCCCAGAAGCCCGCCGAAGGCGATTTTCTGGACAAGGGCTACCATTCATGGCTTGGTGGCAAGGTCTTCCTGGCCGCTGCGCTCACGGCCTTAGACTCAGGTGTCTTTGGATGGATGCCGCGCGCGTGAGAATGATGTGATGTTCACTGCACTTTGTGAGTGGGGTGCAGCCTGCAGGCTTATCTTACTTGGAGGTGGTAGTTGGCCTATCCAATGTTTACAACTCCCAGAGATTCCCTGCCCTCTGTGACGGCAGCGTAGCTGCCCCTGGGTAGAGGATGTGAGGTGCGGTGCTTGGCCGGCCACCCGCAAAATCTCTTCTGCGAGGAAATCAATTCTTCCTGAGCCATAGGATGCTGAAGAAGGGCCTTCCGAGCGAACACTTTTCCGAGGATGTGGCGCACGCATTTCATGTTGGCACTCCGTAAGCTGACTGATCCGGCGCCAGCTGCTCAAACTTGGGGACATAGGTAGCTGGGAAGCTGGCAACCTGTGGAAAGTTTTGGGTGCGGCACTTAGGGCTTCTCCATGCAGTCGGGATGCCACAGTGTCACAGTGTGCCCCTGTATGCAAGAGCCTTGTCCGAGCAGAGGAAGCATGGACTCCTTGATGGGGTCGTTGGTCTCTATGGTCAATCCACTTTCTTTCTCTTTTCCGATGTGGTTGGCCTCCCTCGCAGCCAAGGCCCTTTGATTTTGGGGGGTTGCGCACAGAGAGTTCTTTCCTTCTCCAGGAAGTTGCCTTGCAAACAGCTGACCTTGGCTTCCAGCTTAGTTGAAATAGGCTTTCCAAGTGTTCATGGCCATGGCCACCTTGAGAAGTCGCCTGGGATCTGAGGCGTGACTTGTGCCTGCAGCTTCCTGAAGGAGCTGCCGAGCCGTACTGGTGACAAGGTCTTGTACAAGAACCAGCTGCTTGATCAGTAATATGTCACTGGTACTTCATGTTGCTCCATATTATCACCCTCGTTATTACTCTAATTCAAAGTTTTTATTATTGTTGTTGTGATGCTAATTGCTGAGCAGTTTTGTGGGCTTCTGCGCTTTCAGCCAGAATCTTCCTAGCACCGAAGCTTCCATGTCCTCGCTTGTGCTCCCGAGTTCCTGGCCCAGGTTGGACAAGAAGGACTGGGCATCACGGGCTTTGCGCATTGTTGCAGAATGTTCTTGTGCCAATGGCCGCAGGGCCCAGAAATCCACAGGACATGCTGTTCCTTTCTATTAACTCCGTCATCGAGGCAGTTTTCACATGCCACATGCTCAACGTGATGTCTCCAAGCCGCAAATGGTGTCAGCTGACCACTTCGCACCGTGCCAATGCAGAATTTCACAGCATGAGCGGATGCGGCGTCCCGTTTTTGGGAAACCCAAGCGAGGTGGAGCTCGCCCGTCATTTTTCGCAGCTGGAGCTCCTTCGGGTTTCTGACAGGACCTCTGGCGCTTCTGTGTCCTGACTCGATCCGGATTGGGAAGTAGGGATTTGGACTAGAAATCAACAGAATTAACATGGGCAGACTGTGCTCTAGTCCGCTTGGGGAACTATAGGTTGATCATTCTTCTCAACGACATGTTCTACGCTCCTGCTCATCGCCGCTTGTCCTTCATGACACGCTTGGCCGGTCGTTTCCCCTCCAATAGTTGCAGTACAGCGCGACTACCAGGTCTCACCGAAAAAACGGCTAGTTGCATGAGTTTCGATTGTGGCGGAGCCGAGGATTGCTGCATCATCCGTCCATCTACCCTTACATTCACAAACATCATCATCGGTCAGTCTATCCCACACGTGGAAACATCGATGCTCGCAACGAGCATCCTCTCGAGCAGTTGAAGCTTGCCTTGACAAATGCTGACTTGCCAACAACCGCGCGCACTTCAGATTCGGTATTTCGCCGATGTTCCAGTTCGATGCATGTGCCCGCTGAAGACAAAGCGCGCGACTCGGAAGATCCGGAAGTGTCTGTGAGCTGAGGATTGCGATGTGCCTGTGGATGTGTGCTGTGCAAATAACTGCCCACACCGTGGGCCTGCATGCGGCTGCTTTGGGTGCACATCTAGCCCTGATGACGTTCGGAGCTTCACTCAACCACGCGGGGTTCGACTTCGAAGTCCGCTTCCTAGGCCAGGCATGCGAAGCGTCGTTTTCTGCCACAATCTCACCACCGTTTTCTGAGCAGGTGTAGACTGGTATTCGACCGGCGCCCACGAGATGCACCACCGCCGGCCAGACAGAAATTTTGGACAATTCACAATGCTTTGGGAGCCCGGGCTGCAGTAGTGTGTTGTATACTGCATTCCCCAATTCCCCCTGTGCATGACCCCATTGTCTCGGCACATGCCAATGTGCAGAAAAGACAAGGACAAGCTCATGGGAACATACATTCCCTACGATGACGGATGGGAACCAGCAAAGCGACGTCTGGAACAAAAGGCCGACTAAGCCTGAGGTATGGCACCTACCTAGATACTCACGTATCTCAATCTTAGGGGTGCGACGCTGCATAGCAGACTGAATTTTGCATGCCTGGACAAGACTGGCCTGTGCTAGTGTCCCTGCCTGACACCGATTGCTTCATGATTGGCTTTGAGACTGTCAGCACCTGCAAGACTGTGGCAAACAGGCCTCAAGTCTGGCGCAGGTCAAGGTCAGGGAGCCAAAGCCCTGCCTATTCTTTGTATTGGGTTATAGTGTTATATACTTTCACAAGTACTCACTTCAACGTACCGTCTGCGCTTTGCGTTTGCTGGTCTGAAGTCTCGCCAAAGCAGGTGTAGCAGTGAATCATACTTTCGTGATTGCGCTATCGTGGGCTTTGCTGCCCCTTACGAGTCTCTTGAACCTTTCTGACGCGATGTGTATAGCAAAGCCACGGCCTTCACGGGTCGCAGTTCGGAGGTCATAAACCTGCGCCCCGCTGTGCTCTTTTCTCGCTTGTTGGCATGCCCTGCTGATTCCTGTGGCCTTGGCACATATTGAGACTGCCCGATGTGTTTCTGCTTGCTCAGCCCAGCAGACCAACTTCGGCACACTTTGTTGCCGCCGTAACTCAACAGTTTCTGTCATGTCATCACTTGGCATTTATGGAACTCATGGGCTTTTACCGAGATTTGATTCTTTTCGGCGACTACGTATGCTCAGTGCGGGAGAACATGCGAGCCCATCAATGGCGATGGAATTTCTGCTTGTGTTGGCCGGCCGGGGAGGTGGGGAATTGGAGATAAGTTTTGGGTTGGGCTAGTCTCAAAGACAGACCGTCAGCTCGGGCTTCGGGCTGCTAGCTCTTGCATGTTGTCCAAGCCATTGCCGCACTTGCAGAGCTGCGGAGCTTGAAGTAGAGCGAATTTGACAGATGTTGGCCATGCGTTGATGACGGTTCATCCGAACAGTAGCCAGGTTAGGGACGAGTTGAACGCTCTCAAGGCTGATAGTTTCGGTCGCTCAGTCGGTGAAGGAGTGACATGTCCAATCACTCAGACACCGGTTTTGGCTCAGCCATAGAACCCTGTAACCACCTGCATTCTGCACGTGCTGCAGGTGATGACTTTTGCAGATCAAGATCATTCTGACAAATGGCACATTTAGCAGTGCATTTACCCGACTCCATTTGCTACTATGGCAAGTAGTAGTTACTAGCTCCGTCGTGAAACCGCAACAGGTTCAAAGGCAGAACAGAAGAGCCTCCGTCTTGATACATGTGGCAGCTGGACAGCGGTAGCTGGTCGCAGATGACTCCTTCATGGCGGTCAAAGTAAAGAAGCGCAGAGCTCCTGCAGCCGAGCTGAAAACCTCGGCTGCCGAGAGCGGGGAGCAGGTGAGCCAAGGCACTCCTGCCAGAGCCAAGAGGAAGCTGGCGCGAAGGAGGGAAGCTGTCCAAACCGATGCCGAGGCCCCTCTTGCAGATTTGGCGGAGGAGGAGCCTGAGCAGAAGCTCTTTCGGACAAACACCTCCTTTTCAAAACTAGGTCTGGCGAAGTGGATCGTGGATACATGTGGAAAGCTGGGCATGAACTACCCTACTGATATTCAAGCCATGGCCATCCCACCGGTGCTGTCTGGTAAGAATATCGCCGGAAATGCACGTACTGGCAGTGGCAAGACAGCATGCTACAGCCTGCCTATTCTCCACTTTCTGTCGAAGGATCCTTACGGCATTTTTGCCTTGATTCTCGTGCCTGTACGAGAGCTCGCCTTTCAGGTCGCAGATAATTTCCGTGCCATGGGCCAGGCTATCCACGTCAGCGTCGGGGAGATTGTCGGCGGACGCGACTTCTCCATTCAGAGCAGGCTGATCGCGGATCGGACGCATGTTTTGGTGGCCACGCCTGGAAGGCTGGCGGACCTCTTGCGGGGCGATTTTGCTTTGGCCAGGGCATTTCGCAAGCTGCATACTTTCGTCCTAGACGAAGCAGATACTTGGAATTGCAGCATTCCCCGTCACACCTGGCTAGAAGACGGAAGGCCAGTAGGGGAGAAGTCAGCGAAGGTCATAGAAATAGATAGATAAGATAATTCTGTATCGGATCTCTTTGCTAGCAGCTAGCATCTTAGGATCAGCTCCTGACAGAGACCTTCGAGGATCCTCTGAGCCGGATCTTGGAAGTGCTTCCGGAGTCACGGCAGACTCTATTCTTCTCGGCCACCATTACCGAGTGCATCGAGAAGTTGAGGAAAGGAAAAGATCTGATGCTGGTCGACGCGAACCCCAAGGAGGAGACCCTGCAGAACCTGACTCAGCTGTATGTGTTTGTTCCCAAGTCCGTGCAGGTGAACTATTTGCACTTTCTGTTGAAAGCACACTTCTCAGACGAGAGCTGTATAATCTTTGCCCAGACGATCGAGGAATGCCAGATGTACACCACGATGTTGGATATCTTAGGTTTCGCAGTTACAGGCCTACATTCACTGCAGTCGCAAAGGCAACGACTTGCAAGCCTTGGCAAATTCCGAGCAAGTCGTGCCAGCATTCTGCTGGCCACTGATGTAGCCAGCCGAGGCCTGGACATCCCAATGGTTGGAGTCGTGATCAATGTTGGCCTGCCTTTCGACCCCGCTTCCTACGTCCATCGTGCTGGTCGCACTGCACGTGCTGGACGACCTGGAAAGGTGGTCTCTCTCATGTCAGAGCTGGATGTGCCTCGTGTGCAGAGCATCGAGAAGAGGATCGGCAAGCAGCTGCAGCTCTTGCCGACTAAGGAGGAAGAGGCGATCAAGCTTCTCTCCAAAACGACGAAAGCATATCAACGCGCAGAGCTGCTGCTGTCAGAGGTGGGGTTCACAGACCAGGTTGCCGAGCATCGTGGAGCGCAGCATGCCTCTAAGAAATCCAGAAAGCCTCTGAAAGCTAAGCCCAACAGAAAGAAGTTGGCAACTTCGTAGCATGCGCTGGTCGCATCAGACACCGACGCATCGGCAGACGCCGGAAAGACGTGGCTCAGCACCCAGCTCTGATCTATGCAGGAGACATCGGTCGGGGTGAGAAACACTCCAGGCTTTAGGACGAAGTCGCTAGAAGGACTGACTGGAAAGAACAAGTAGGCAAAGGCTGTCTGGTCTTTGGTGGAATCTCATAGCAGACCTTGGATGTAGGAATGTAGGCTGACGTAGGGCAGAAGCGAACATAAAGAAGCTTTACGACTCTACGAACTTTCTGATGCCTTTGCATCTACCGACTGAACCGAGTACTCATCGCTGTTTCATTGACTGCCTTCCCAGAGGCGGGCACATCAGCGTACGAAAACTAGACATTGCCCTGCCCCAGGCCTACCACAGGCTTCCCTTCGTCGGGCAGTGAGATGCAGAGAGCGCGGCACCCAGTAGCCCCAGTGCCGATCGTGGTCTTGCCTGGTGACCCATTCATGCTTCAGTATACTCAGTACATACAAGAGCTTACGTAGCTCAGTCTATCGGAAGTGGACTTTGCACGCTGTCCATCAGGTCGCAGTACCCTACAGCAAACCCTGCCATGAGTTCGTGGAGCAGAAGCGAACCGGAAAATCCGGGCCACTCCATGATAGCTCCCCAGACGTATCCACTCCTCGTTGAAGAGAATGTTCATCAAGACAGCAGCTCTACCAAGAAAGCCGCCCCCAGTACCAAAGCGGAGAAGCTCTAAAACCTGAAACGGAGACATTCAAAAAGTATGCAAAAGCCAAAGGTAGGCTCATGTTTATAAGGCCCAGGGCCAGTCCGGCAGCCGCAAGAATGAGCCATGCCACGCTCGGCAACCCCACCGGGTGCCGTCGGCACCCGCCGGTCCAACCACAGCAGGGGGCTGGAACTTACCGATCAGAAGGCGCGCTCTGGGTGCCTGTGGGTTCCGTGTGGTCCGACACACACTTGCCGGTTGACTTCTGAAAAACATGAGTTGTGAAAGCTGATTTAGTGACGCCTTCCGCGTTGTGCAGGAGCAGACAACGGTGGCACAGCAGTTCCTGCAGGCCGGTCGCCGCCAATATACTGCAGAAGAGGGCTGATTCATGTCAATGTCCAAGCTGATTCCTTCCTAGACTGTTCGGGAGCGCAGCTACCTGTGGCAAGAATGTGCACAGTCTGCAGGCGGCTGCCGATGGGTTGACCACTGGCGCCGTCTGCGCGCTTCGGAAGACGTTGCCGGCTGGCCTGCGCCCTGCAGCTTCTCGCTCTCCCAGGACTTCTGTCTCAATGCAGTATTGGCGCTCCAATTCGGACTCCAAAGCCCTTCTCCGTGCCTTCACTACTTTGAAGGCTGTGTCCGCACATATCATACGGCCCGAAACTAGACTCATGCCTTGCCTCCCTCGTGTCCTAAGCCTGCATTTCGGCATTCGGGAAAAGGGCGATATTCCTCCTCCGCGGGGTAGCTGCAGGACGCCATACTGGTTAATCCAAACTTGTTCTTTTCCTGACGTGCACACCGGTGCTGTCGGAACCTACTTACGAAAGGAGCAAGAGCAAGGGCCGGAAAGAAGAGACTGTCCGGCGACATTCTGCTCATGCTGCCTCTACGAAAGAGGCGCGGACCAACACCGGAGGCCAGCTGTGGAGCTGACCTTTCGATTGCTTCATAATGTGGTGCCATCTTGGTGCAGGTCTGGTTTCGGTGTTGAGCATTCTATGCATGATCTCCCAGTGAAGGCAGTGCATCGGCCTTCCTCTTCAACGCCTGCGAGCGCAGCGAGCGTCGTGCCTCGTCCATCAGTGCAGCCACTGAAGCAGCTGTGCAAGCCATTGCCACAGAGATCCTGGAAGCACAGGACTGAGGTGCTCTTTGCTGCCCTGTTTGATCGCTTCTTTTGTGCACTCAGCCTGCGCGTAGAGACAATGAGAGGGCTCTTGCCTGCAGGATGTCGCAGCTGTGCAGAGGAAAGCGGCCCCACAGTCCAGCCAAGCCACCTGGCTCACTACCGGCCGGTCTCAGAAGCTCCCTCGATCTGTAGAGTCACTGTAGAGCCTTTGGTCAAATGTGGCGCGAACGGCTAGTGACGGCTAGTGCTACGTTACCGCTCTATCTGGATTTGTAGTCTTGCATGTCGTGCAGCTGCTGGAATCTAGAAGCTTTATCGACAAGCGCTTTGCACAGGGTCGGCACCGTTTGCTCACTGAAAGATTAAGGATCTGTGTCAGGCGTTAGCGCCTCGAACAGAGCCACCTGACCCGTGGGCTTCCAGTGAATCAGATGCCGAATCCGAAGCGTCGCAGAAGGACCTTGGTGACGGAGAACGACAGCCGGTACAGCCTACGAGGGAGCCCTGAAAAGAGCTTCCGGCTCGGCTTTTCTGTGCCTTAGCAGGAGTTGGCGTCGTCCGCAACTCTATCAGCGCCGGCTCTTCAGGATCAGGCGCTTATTAGCAGTGTGAAGAGATCAAGTGCCGTGCGGGTCGATCCTTTACGCTCGAGGCTAGCGCCTCGATCTCCACCATCCGGAGCCGCGGCTCCTCCTCCCGACAGTCTGCAGAGCCGGAAGGGGAACCTGCAGAGCTGCAGCGCAGTCGGGGGCGTGAGCCGAGGGATCGTGACGGAGGCTTGCATGAAATGTTCGTATATCGAATTTGTAGACATTTCTTCGTTGAGTTGGCTGTTGTTAGCACAAGGCAGCTCTGCAGGACCGAGGGAAAGTTCGCCGTCACCGACAGATGCCGCCCGCCTTCACCGTGCATTAAGCCAAGTTCAGACCTGGGCTTCGAAAGGCCACTTCTCCGAGGTGCGGCAGCGTGTGTTGGCTTTCGTCTTACATTACTTACATTTGCGTCTCCTTGCCTGTAGGCGATTCAAGCATGCTTGCCCGCCCTTCACGGCCCGCAGGCCGGATCTGGTCATGCAAACCGGACCTCGAAGTCTCGACCCCTGCAATTGAATTGTCAGGAGGTTGTGGATATCATTGGCAGCCTTTTGGCTGCTTGGCAGGCCAGCATCAAGAAGCAGAAACGAGCCCCTCGGCACACATCGCAGTATGAGTCGAGTAGGTTCTCGATGTGCCGGAAATGGGGGCCGTTGCTTGGACAGAGTCTCTACCGACATCTAGAGACTCTAACTTGTTGACGTCCCCCCACCCCCTTGCTGCCAGGAGCAACAGGACGAAATGGAGGCTTTGGTGTCTGAGGCATCATGCTGCTTGTTTTTCCTACTCGAGTAATGTGAGCCGCATTGATAAACAGCTCTGCCAGCTCTGCTACTTCGGCTTCGCATGTGTGCCCAACATTGTCCAACCTCATCGCAGCATTTCCGGTCTCACGCCTGTAGCCAATAGCGCACCTGCCACGCTGTCACCGATGGACCCCAAAGTTGCAATCCAGAGGCCCGGGCTGCTGCACTTGCATGTTGTTTTTGGGCATGTTTCTGTTTTGTAAGGCTGTTTAAGATAATCCAGATGGGCCCAACAGAGTGAACAATAGATCTGATTATGGAAACTGGCATTTCTTGCTAAAGTTTGGCAGGGAGGCGAGGAATGCTTATTTCTTCGAGAACAGCTCCAGTGGCACAGCGAGCAGGCTCGGCCGCGATGCATGAGCTTGAATCAAGAGTCCGTCCGTCACGTGGTGCCCATCAAGTTCCACTCGGACAATTGAAAATTAGTACAAGATTGTGAGGAGGTGTTTGATCTTTCAGTCGCGGATGTTGACCCGGGCATACATCATTCAAGCGGTCACAGGGTGTTCTCTTACATGTGCTTACGTGGTAGGATTCTCTTTCATGTGATGTCATTGAGATGTTGACTTTTCGCAGCAGTGAAACGGACGATGCCCCTGTTGAAGCAAGCCCTCCCCACAGGGGGTTGCAGAAGAGGTGGGGGGGACTCTACATTCGAGAAGCCCTCATTCTTTTCAGAAGTTCGTCACATAAGGCGAAGGCCTTTGTGGATCTTTTTCGATTCCGTTTTAGGTCATGCGGCGGTTAGGGTACAATTAGGTGTGTCATTCCACAAACTGCATTCCACAGAATCGTTCAGTCCAGGCGAGCATGCTCAAAGTGCGGTCCTTGTGGTTTCAATGGTCCCGGGCTTGTCCTTGCAGTGTTAAAAGTTCTCTGCGAACTCGATCACGTACGAGGAATGCTGTGATGCGAAAGATCAAAGTCCTTTTCAGCAGACGGTTTTCTCTCTCTGTACATGTTCCTTGTCGATGTTGTAGAACAAACTCAAGGAAGCTGTGTGCTGTACTGCCTTGTGGCAAGGAGCAGCAAAGCCAGCAGCAAGTTCAGAAGTGGGCACTTCGGAAGCAGATATAAAGGGTGTAGTAAGGGTGTGCCGCATCACCGCTGTTATGTTATGCCTGTCAACTGTGTCTTTGAGCACGCGCATCGAATCATCGACTGCTCTTCTCAGCCACTCATGGATCGAATGTTGACTCGCATGGTCAAAGTATGGTAGAAATGTTGGCCTGTGAGGTATGATGGTAACGACAAGGACCGCTGGATGCAGTTGCGTTGCAATTTTTAGAGAAAGCCCGGTGAAGAGTGCAGCTCCCGTTTCGTCTCTCTTTCTCTCTTTCTCTCTCAGCCTTTCCTCTCTCTCTCTCTCTCTCTCCCCCTCCACATATCTTCACATATCTCGGTATACTGAACAGGGTAGAAGCACATTCCTTCGAAGGGGTGAGGGCTTGCGCATTGCTCCTTTATGCCTTTTTGACAAGAGGGGTCAACGATGTCCTCGGAAGTTGAAACCGACGACGCTCGCAAGTTCAGAGCGGTCAGGGTTTGCGTGCGGGGTCTCGACCCCACACTCCCACCAAGCAAGATCAATAGTTCTCTTGAGTGTTCCCTGTAGTGCGACCTGTTCAGCTAAGCGGGTGGGAAAGAGAGCAATAGAGAGACCGAGAAAAGACAGAACTCTTCACTTTTTCCACCGAGGACGATGAGGCGAGCCATGAAGCAATGGACAAGCAGGTAGGGAACCTTTCGCGGCATTTTGCCATGGACAAGGAGACATGCCAGTTCAGTCAAACACCGTGCGCGCTGCAGGTTACCAAGTTCTTTGCCGCCTACAAAAAAGCAGAGAACGAGAAGAGAGAGCACAAAGACAGGGTGGACAGGCACGGCTGCGCCCTGCAATTGTGTGCAGCAGCAAACGTTGAATCATTTACAACCGCTTTTTGCAATTGGGGGAAGTCTCTGGAAATGATTCCTGATGGCAGAGAGGACCCTCCAGGCCATGCGCAAGAGCTTTCAGGAGGCAGCAAGGCCGGTGTGTCGCTGCGATCTCGACTGTCCTCCATGCTAGAAGCTCCGCTTTGCATCTTGTGTTTGGTTTGCAGGGAAGCCGAGCCGGATGAACTGCCACGATTGATGCAAGAGCCTCTTGGCCACAATGTGCTCTGAAGGTGCCTCTCGTCGATGCCAAGGGTTCTTGCAGAATTCGTGCAAGATGAGTCAGATGAGAATCTGAAGCTTCCCCAAATGTCGATCTGGGTCTTTCTAGGTTCTGATCGAAGCGCAAATGCTTTAGAACTTAGTGGCCTAGTGCTTGGGCGATGTTGGGCGGGACTGGTGCGAACCTGGAATGCACTTCCAACGCATTCCCAACTGAGGCACCTCCATGCCGAAGATGAGCTCATGAGAGCAGATCTTCGCATGTCCTGACCTAAGACAGCGAATGTCTTTGATTGTTTCTGTCGAAGGCAACATGAAAAGACATGACATGACATGACATGACATGACATGACATGACATGACATGACATGACATGACATGACATGACATGACATGACATGACATGACATGACATGACATGACAAGAATACGACTAGGTGGTCACCTGACGATTTCGAGTCATTGACCATCCTGGGCAAGGCCAGGGGAGCTGTGACAGCCTCTAAGAAATCAGGTGCTCCCCTCGTTGGCCATGAGCCACTGCTACCATCATGCCACTGTCCTTCTCACTGACACCTGGAGGGTGGCTTTGGCACCGTGCACTTGGTGAGGCTCACGATTTGCTGCCACTTCTTGCAAAATCAACCTTCCGGTTTAGGCAAGGATGTTCATCATCAGGTTGCGCGTCAACAATCAGATCTATGCGCTCAAGCGGATGAGCCGCCGTCCTGGTGTGTTCGTGCTTGTGGACCGTATCGGTTTCAATCCCAAACATCTCGCTCCAATGAGGCAAGGAGCATTACAAGAAGAAGAACGCACTGGTCTTCAACGAGCGTGATGCACTGGCAGGGCTGAGCTCGCGGTGGTGCACCAAGCTCTTATGCGCCTTCCAGGCCGCGGTGGCTTGATGTTTGCGCCGCTGTTGGAACTCGTTCGTTTTTTGTTGCATTTCACCCGAACTACCGTATAAGCCGAAGACAGATCCTCACATGCACCGTGCGATGTGTCCGTGAGATGAGGACAAGTCTGTGAAAGCATTGACAATCGACCATGCAAGCAGCAGCTTGCTGAGAGGACGTCCCACATAATAAGTATGCTGCGAGGCACTTTGCTCCCGCATCTCCCCGCTGATGGCAAACCTGACGCCCCACTTGCCGTACACCAGCACTTCATGCCAGGATTCCACAAACGTGTTCATGGCCATGGAGTTCTTGCAGGGAGGCAGCTTGGCAACTCACGTCACAAGGCAAGGACATCCCAAATCCTCCGTCGGACTGTCTCTTCCTGGCTCGGTGTTGATCACAGGCGTGGCAGGCTTTCACTGGAGGAGACTGCCTTCTACGTGGCCGAGCTCATCGAGGCGGTTTCGGAAGTCCACCGCTACGGCCACGTACACCGGGATCTGAAGCCAGAGCCGTGGCTTAAAGCTGCCGCATACAGACATATCATACCCATCGCCGGACTGAATACCAGCTCGCACAAATGAGAGGCTGCGCCCCTTCAAGACATAATCCTGGAATCGTTCTTCGCCTGAAGTTGCCTTCGGTAATCTGTGCCACCGTCAGAGCAGTCTGTTGCAGCCTTCATGCACGAAGCCTGATCGAAGTTAGTGTCGACTGATGTCGGTGGGTCCTTACAGCGAATCCAGACGAGACGCCGGAAGACACGACTTGGGGCGACCTCACCCGGATGGTGTAGAGCCCCCTCCCACTAGCAAAGCCTTTTCTAGTGTTTTCCGGAGCATTGAGGACAACATCATGCTCACGACTGAGGGCCACCTCAAGCTGCTCCTTGGATCGGAACCCGATTAGCATTGCCCCTTCTTGCGAAAGCGCACAGATAATCTTGGTTTAAGTCTTGAGGCTGGACTTTGGCCTCTCAGCAGTGCAAGACGAAAGTGGCACGGCCAAGTGCGACTTGATCTGTGGCACTCCGGAATACATGGCACCAGAAGCCTTCGACGGGTATAGCAGCTGCAAGAGCGACATCTGGGCCATAGGGGTCATTACTTACGACGTCCGGCACGCATCAGTCTGACCTTCTGTACTTGGCTTTTATTTGGAGTCGTGTTGTTGCAGGTAAAACGTAGGTAGTCGATGTAGCATGGCAACAACACCGGTTGTTCCACACTGCCATCACGAAATATCCTGGAAAGAACCGGCCTGACGCACAGAGCATGTGCACAATCGAGGCTTCGTTGGGCTCTTGAGGGGACGAGGTGTTTCACTGTGTCGTTAGACATGAAATGCTGAGGCTTTGTGGTTGCAGCGGCCTTTGTGATGGCTGCACCCAACTTATTGCCCGTGGCAACTTGCTTAGAAAGAACTACAGCTTTATGCGGGCACAAGTGCTCAGGGGCTCAGGACACATGTGCAAGCCGATCGAAAACTAAAACTGAATTTGTGCCAGTATCAACCACCCCGAACAGCTTCAGCCCTCAAGCACAGTATACCTAGGACCTTAGGAACCGCTCCAAGAGAATTCCCGCGCATCCCTGAGGCTCCCTCCAAAATGCGCAGCACACCAAAACACTGGGCGCCCCCAGCAGAACATGCAATATGTTAAGGGTCACACGATTTGTCACATGCACCAGCACAGCACGGTGGTAGGAACAGAAGTCGCAAGTGCGCCGTCAGCTCGGAGGCGGATGCACTGCAACTTCCAAATCCCATAAGCCATCCGCCGGAGTCCCAAGCTAAAGCTGAGGAGTGTCTGACCGGCCTGCTCCCTTTCGACATTCCCTCCGATGCTCGCGCTGCCATGCACAAGATGGATGCTATAGCCGATCAGGCCGACTTTCGAGCTAGCGGTTTAAGGATTGAATGAGGGGCCTTTTAAGCTCGCGCACCCAACCTACCAACATGAGGTCCTGAAGCCGCATGAACCTTTTGTTGACTGTGCGAGAGGCTTTCAACGTGGAGGAGCATTTGCCCAGGAAGCTTAAACTGGCCCGTGACCGGCAGTTTGTGATTGGTACTCCTGCTTCTCAGATAAACTGTTCAAGTTTGGGCAGCTGCATGCCATTTGTGTCGTTTTGCTGCACTTCGCTGTTGCTACTGGTACAAGAAAGGGATACAGTACATTCCAAGCTGAGCCAGCATGCTACAATCACGAACTGCAGTGACACCAAGGACAGCGACTTCGAGAAAGGTAGGCATTTCCTTACGGGAGTGCTCCGATCCAATGACGAAGAACGACTGTCACTGTCGGAGTGTCGGGAAGAGGCCTTCTGCCCTGAGTTCAAGAGTCTGATGTTTTTGATAGTTATTGTTACGATTCAACTCAATCTTGTGTGAGTCGGGTGCAGCCCGTGCAGCTGCATCGGAACGACAGTGCACTTTCCGAGAGACCTGCAACTCTCCGGTTCGGAGACAAGCAGACATGCTTTGTGCTTTGTCAGTTTTGCTACGCTTGGAGGCCGTCTTCGAGGGCCTGGACTTCGCATCGTTGCACAAGATGCGACCACCCCTCTCAGTCAAGGCCGGTCAGGTTTGCTGCTTGGGACATTCCCTATTTCGCGACCGTGACTTGCGCAAGCATAAGGTCACTGGTGCAACAGACTTGACTTACTTCGACGTGCCGGACTGCGAGCAGCTTGAAGAGAAAGTCATATCAAGTCTATTAGCTTAGTGGCTCAGTGACTAGTCACAGTCTCCAGGATGTGTCCTGGATGTGCAAATTTCTGTTAAGACCTCGCGAAATCTTTCCCGACGGAAGCTCCCGGCGATGCGCGAAGCGAAAGGATGGATGCCAGCCACAGAATCCAGCCATTGACAGAAGGCCCTCAGAAGGTCACAATGCGAGACGCTCGTTCTGGTGCTACGTTACATGCTGATCAGCTCAGGCCGGAATCACTGCCAAAAGGACAAGACATTACAGCTCCCCAGTTGCATACACCAAAAACTGCACTGCGGCCTTGCTGGTTCCATGCTTTAGTGCCGTGGTCTTTGGCCTAGTCTGGCGGAAGCATTGTGCTTCGGCAGTTTGCAGATGGCACACCGGATGTTGTATATCTTCGCACATACAGTGATCCGGCTTCATTTGTCCAGCCCAGTGTGTAAGGAATGGAACACCTCGATGAAATGGACGCATTTCGAGCTCGATGGTCAGGTCAGCGCGGCCACGAAGCAACGAAAGAGCAAGTATTGAGAGTCTTTGCATCACATGCACCACAGGAATTCACTAGACCTCTCCCAGCTTTAGCAGTTTTCTTGCGAAGCACGCCGCAGCTGCCAAGCAGCATCTCCAGTTTGCGTGCGCGGCTTTGGCTGTCGGACAAGATTCGTGCAAGGAATCAGGAAACAACAGTCGGCGAATGTTTGAATGCTGCACAGTGCCTGTTTGACAGCCCATGACAGCCCATCCCTGAATCATGTACAGCCAGATGGAACCGCTTGCACCAGGGCCTACAGTGCTAGATGGGCGCAGCACAATAAAATCAGCATGGAAATAAAATCAGTATGGACTGACGACGTGGTTTACCATGCCAAGTTGTCGATATTTACACTGCACTTGTGCTACGCCCATGGATGGTACCATTTTGCCTCTAAGAAGTGCTTTATTGCACGTTTTGTTCGGTGCAGACAATGCTGATGTTCAGAGAAAATAGACGAGTATCTGGAAATGCTTGTCTATATGTTTGTTCAGCATGCGGTGCAGAGTTATTCTCACAAGTTCCACGTGCATGCTCACTTCGTGTTTCGAGCCGTCTTCGTAGGTCACTTCTGCACGGGAGAAGGACTCGCCAGAGGTCTGGCGCCTCTTGGAGGAGATCGAAGAGCGTGAGACGGAGACGTGGCCAAGTAAAATTATGTAAAGTAAGGCCTGCCGAAGCAATGCGCGACTCGTCGTCGCATGTGTGTTCGCGGTGCCGAGGAAGTTTCCGAGGAGGTTCAGAAGAGAACGGAGCTGCAGCAGCACCTCCGCGCTTTGGATGAGGCCATCAGAGCAGCTCCAGGGAGGGATGCACCAACACTGAGCAGATCTGAATTCAGTTGGATGACACCTTAGACAACAGGAGCTGCGAGCGGCCCAGAACGACATCCGAGCTGCATGCTCGCAAAGACGTTCGTTTGTGCCAGGATTCGGAGTGTCTTTGACCAAGATTCATGTGCATGAGGTTTTCTGCTTACTTATAGCGCAAAGGCTGCGCAGGATCGCGCTGATCAATGGCGCAGGCTCAAGGTGGCCGCGCTTTGTTTGGTTAAGTTGGGCTTTTCATCGCCCAAGTGCGTGTATTCGCATTGCTTGCCGACGTCCCTCCTGAAACTTTGGACATCACTGTGTGGTGCTTCGCAGGATGACAAAGAGAGGGAGCTCTTCGCGCAAATCCGAAAGCGAGAAGATGCCGAACGTGAGGCACAACGACGTCGCCAAGAAGCCAAGAGATAAGCCAGACTTGCCTTGGAATTAGTAATTAGTCCACTTGTCACGGATCCAAATTGCAGGTCTCTTTCTTGCGCCAGTCTGCCTGGCTCGCAGACAGAACAGCGAGAGAGCCAGGGCCCCGAGTGGATGCTCAGAGCCCCCTAGAAACCTTGGAGCTGTAAGGAACGCCTCCCTGAAGAAGCGGCTCCAGCTGGTGGAGGCCCTTGGATGCTGCCAAGCCTTGAGTATTGGAGAGAGATCCGAAACAACTCGTAAAGACACTTGCAGAAGCAAGGCCTGGCTAAAATGATCGAGCCGGAGCCCGTCAAAAGAATGGAACTTGTTAGAACTGCCCCCAGCGTCGAAAGAGGCAACGGCGTAGATAAAACGCCCGGCACGAGCAAAGTCGCACCCTGCTGAGCCTTGCGCTGTGGCACCCTGCATCCTATAGCCATCCCAACCCGTCTTTTCTCCAGGCTCATGCGGCCAACAACGGGCCGCTGGCCCTGGCACGGCAGATCGCCGAGCCGAAAACTCGGAAAGCTCTCATTGCACAATGCATTAGATTGACAAGGCAAGCCAGCCTCGCAACTGCTTAGAGCCATGGCTTTCATGATCGTGCCTCAAAAAGCCCGGCCTTGAAATTCTCCCCATGCGCTTCAGGTCAGAATGTGGGCCGCTGCGGCAGCTCCGTCGCACCGCGCATGTGGTTGATGCATGCTAAAACTGTAATGGTTGAGTCTCAGTCCGTTTGAGTTTGCATGAGGCACTGCGATAGAGAGTTGCGGCCGGCGGTGAAGATGCCCAGCTGCATGTTTGCGAAGCCTTGCCTCGCAGAGCAGGAGGGCTTCGCTTCCTGCAACATACTGGTTACTAGTACTGACGGCTGAGGAAGAAGCTTATGGTGCAGCTCGGCAGACTTTGGCAGACACTTTTCCAACCATTGTGTCTTGAGACATGCTCCTGCTTCCACGAGGCTGGAAGGACGGCCTCAAACAGAATCTAACAGTACCTCAGTGGTTACATCGGAAGTCCCTCGGCATTGAGATGACTTAGGAAATGGCATCCCGACAAGCAGCCTTCGCCGGAGCATGTGGCAGCTCAGCCGCATTTCCTCCGACTTCTGAGCTGGGCTTCAACTGCCATGCACTCAGGAATTGGCTACGCAGGTCATGCAAGCCTTGCAGAATCAGCCTGAGTGGAAACTCTGAGTGTTTCGGATGCAAGCACTCCGTTTTCCAGCCGCCTGGCTTGGCAGCAGATTATGCGCCACTCTGCGTTAATGTCGTCCCACCGGGCTTTCAGCCCCGTGAAGATTCCGCTTCGACGGGTGTGCGGGCATGGTCAGAAGAGCTGGCCTGCATCGGAATCGCACGTGTCAGAAAGAATTTCCACACCCTGCATGGCATCAGTTGCTGGACCACGAGCATGTACTGTAGCACATGGCCAGGATCTGGGCACTTTTCATGCCTCTCTGTCCATCGTTCGCACCTTTCCCCCACTATCTCCATCTCTCTCTCTGTCTCCCTCCCTTCCTGCCTCCCTCCCTCTCTCGCCCGCTTGTACTCAGAAACCAAATGAAAGAATGATACGAACATGTAAACATGCATATGTATAAATATGTGTGTATATATATATATATATATGTGTGTGTGTGTGTGTGTGTGTTTGTGTTCTATATGTACCTTTCATTGTGACAATATGCATAATTACCTACTATTTGTTGTGGTGTTTCGCACGAGCTCCAGGTCCAGATCTGCTAGATCATCCAGCGAGGCAAAGCCCCCGAGCTCTGCCGGTTTGGGTGTCACGGCCTCACGGTTGATCTTGGCACCCCCGAAGCCTCAGAGCACTCGCCTTTCGGTTTTGGGCCATCTCTCCGTGTGAAGTGAAAGCTGGAACTGTTCGCAGCCCCTTCTGGCTCAGCAAGGGGAGCAGATTCGCCAGCGGTCTCATGACCCATTGTAGCTGCTGAGGTGCTAGAGTTGATCAGGTGTGACCAGGTCTGCATCTGCTTGCGGTTGCCAGGACGTGGCGCGGACATGGTTCCTTCCCGCTTCAGCTTTATCTTCGTGTGGAGCCCAAACTTCGCCATGCCGAGGTAGTGGTTCGGTCCAGAGACTCTGCCAAGGTCCTGGGCTTCCAGCTCAGCGCAGTCTGGGCAAGCAAGGCCCTGGAGCTCCTGACCGAGGAGGCTCTTTGAGCGGGAAGGGGCTGAGGGGAGGCTTTTGCCGAATGCTTTCCCTGCAGGAGAACGAGTTGACCCAGAGGAGACTCGATTTTGCGGCATGGTGTGAGAAGGAGGTGGCCACGCAGGACTCCTTGCTCGTGACTGCAACCTCGCTTTCCTGCCTTCCTCCCGGTGATGCTGTGTGTCTTGCTGCAGAGTCGTGCTTAACTGCTGAGCACGAGGAGAAGCAGAGGCAAGAGCTCATAAAGCTGCAGGGCAGCTTCAATGCAGAGGATTCAGAAGATGAGTCGTTCGATGTGCCCTCCTTGCTCAGCACAGCGAAACAGCTGCAGCTAATGCAGCAAGGGAAGGTCGCAGAGTCTCCATCCCATAGCAATCTCGACGTGGCGGTGCAGTGCCTCGCAGAGCTTGAGCCACGCGGCTGCATCCTGGTACTCCTGGAGTCATGCTTCCTATAGCTACTTTTGGCGTTGAGGGTATAACGTTTTTTTTTGGTAACCTGGGTGACGCTTCCCACAACTTCCGACGAGCAAAACTTCTTGTTCCGTGTGTTGTGGATCGCTTAAAGTGGGAGAGCGCCGGCAAGCGCCCAAGACCCGGTCAAAATCCTGCAGCCAAAGTAGCTGAATTGGGCTTCTTGGGTGGAAAGAAATTTAAAGTCAAATGATTTTGGTCCGGAAGCGTTTTTGTGGGAAACTGCGGAGCCTCGGGAGCCTTAGCAGATTTCCTTCTGCAAGTCCTTTTGATTTGGATGTTGCTGGCTCTCCCGTGGCTTCGTAGCCACTTCGACAGAACTCCTGGTGTGGTGGAGCTGAGGTCCGAGCTCGTAGCTCGATCCTCGAGCTGGGCATTCGGGGGCGAGAAGCAGAGCCTCCAGGCCGTCCGGAAGGTGCTCGGCGACGCGCGGGAGCAGCAGCTCGGCGAAGTTGGAGGTTGTGAGGGGTCCAAGGCAGATCCAGAGGAGTCGTTAGGTTGTGTCTTTGGGAAGTTTGCTTGTCATGGCAGCCTAAGGAAGGCAATGTCTTTGAGCCAGCAGCCGAATCTCACGGGTGTGCTGCCTCCAGCACAGCTGGAAATGCTCAAGGTTCGTGGGGTATTGAAAATCGGGCACGGGGCCTGGGATGTAAGGCCTGGATTTGTTCTTTGGTGCTTGGCTGAGTGCCTGTCACCGGCAGGGGAGCCCGAATCCAGAATATGCCAAACACTGGTTCAGCAGTTGCACGGGTCCTCAGTCTGGACTGTGCACTTGAAAGCTAGTCCCACGCGAGCAGTCCTTTCCCAGGGGTGCTGAATCCTGAAAGTCAGAGCCAACAGCTCCGTAAGAGAAGGCTCCTGGTAGCTGCAGGGCTGCATTCTGCACCCCTGAAGGCGAGACAGCTTCAGGCAGCAGAGGCCCAGGCACTTCATCGCGCCAAAAGCCTTGCAGCACGCAGTGGACGCCAGGCCGGCTAAGCTGGAGTGGTGAGGGTGATGTTGAAGACGTGACGAAACGGCCGATGTTGATGAAAGTGTACTACATAGTGCGGTGACAGTGGTGATGATGCACATGCACTTTAGTGACTTCGTTTTGCCTGCTTCCAATGGTCCCACTGCGCTGTGGCATTGCATGGCGGCATCTACAGATCATCGTGTTCCGGTATAGAAGACTGCAGTCATGTATTGTCTGGTGTTGTCACGGAAGCATGGGATGCACATTGCAGCAGCCCTGAGGTGTTGGATGCAGCAGTGGTGCAAACGAATGCAGCTCTCTCCGATGCTGCTGGCATTTGCGGCCTGTCGGACAATTGTTCTCGGTAGGCACATGTTCTTTAGCTTTTAGCCGGTCTGTAGATCTTGGAGATAAGGTGGCCTCGGGCGCACGGTGATGAACCGCACAGAAAGTGCAGGGAAAAAGCTGGTGAAGCAAGCCTTGGAGCTGATCGGCAAAGCCGAGGGCGCGGCGGAAGCATTGACCAGCTCTCAAGCCGTTCAGGCGACCAGCGCCACGGTGAAACCCCACGGAACGGATGCTACGGCTTCCTCAGATGAGGGCCATGCGCAAGTGACATCATCACAACTCGCTCACCTACTGGAGGTGTCCCAGGAGTTGCAGCAACAGCAGCAGCAAATGCAGCAACAGATGGCGGAGCTGAGGCAGCTGCAGGCGGAAGCTTCGCACCACATCGCGACGGATGTGCAGATGCCACCTGCAGCTGTAAGTGCCGTCAAGACAAAGCCTCAAGAGCCGGTGCTCCCAGTACCAGAGGCGAAGAGCTCAGGACAAGCCACGGTATCCACAGCACCAGCCCAGCTCGCTGCCAAGACCTCCATGTCCCTTGCAGCGGAGGTTGCACAGGAGAGCAAGCTGGAAGCAGAGTCTGAGGAGAAAGCTCCCGAGCTGCCTGCTCCTGCGCACGGCAGAGCCAGGACAAAGCATCATGCTTTGGAGCCACAACACCATGAAGTCCATGAAGCGCAGGCCAGCGAAGACGAGGATCTTCCCAAGATGCAAGCACCCAAGGACTTCCCTGCCGCTTTGCGGGGCGGCTGGCAGGGCTTGCTGGCTAAGAAGCGTGCGGAAAGCAAGAAGAAGCCTTCAAAGCCTGACGATGCCCTGGGAATCATGGAGCTGATGCAAACGCCGAAGACGTACACTGCTTGGTAGTGACCTCAGATAAAGAGGTGATACATATATATATATATATAAGAGTCTGGTACTGAACTCTGTTGACGAACCAAGGCAACCAGATCAGGGCGTGGCCGCAACTGCTGTGAAGGCCAAGGACGATCTGTTAGCAGCAGAGAAGGCCCTCGATGATGATGACGAGGGTGAGAAGGAGATCCCCGCCAAGAGCCTTGGATCTCATGTCACATGTTTTTAGCGACTGCAGATGTGCTAGCGAAGTGAAGCTCTCGCGGTGCACTGAAGCTTTGGCACTGCATCCCAGGAAGGATGTCCGAGCCTTCCACCCGGATCGCGCTTCCATGACCGACCCTTTGGCCTTCTTCCAGTTCGGTTCTGTGCCTCAGCATCGCCTTACGGCAAGGGATAGTGGGTAGTACCGGGTAGTACTATCGAAGTACGGTTTCCTTGAGCGCCCTGCTTGCCACGGCCAGGAAATCAGGCGCCCGGCTCTATCGGCACCAAAGGAGGACAACCTTGCGGGGATCTCGGTGGCCAGGAGAAGCAGCGCCGCCTGCGCCATGCAGCAAGCCGGGACCTCTTATGAGTTTTTTTCCCGCCCCTTGCCTTTGAGGTTGCGATGCTGCTTCGGAAGTTCGCTCTGGCAACCAACAGCACGTTGCTCATGGAGCTTTCCCAAGACGAGCTAAGCAAAGAGAGCCTCCAATCTTTGCTGCACAAGTTGGAGACAGAGTCCCCAGATGCGGTTGATGCTCAAGATTCAGAGCTCCGAAAAATGTGCGAGGCGTACGAGCAAGAGCGGCTCGGACGCAAAGATACGCAAAGCTTCGTGGACTGCAGGCTTCAGGTGCATGACTAGCCGACTAGCCCGTATGTCGACTTGGACCCTCAATCGTAACCACGAACACACTACCGCATACCCATTGCCCGGCTTCAACAGAACATGGTTTACCACTGCTTGCTCCGTCTGTCAACCTGTGGTGATTCTCCCGAACGGCACTGCTTCTCTGCTTCGCATGACGGTTCAAGCAGAGATGGTCGCGAGAAGGATGGCAATTGCAGGAGCCAGGTTTCAGACTGAAGATCTCGTTTCAGAACAGCAGGCAGTCCGGCAGACAAGCAAGCACGTCAGCAGGGGTAGGCTGAACAGTGAGGTTCTCGCGAAGAGAATTAAAGTTGAGCCGAGCTTTGTCTATTGCCCCGCTCGAACCTTTAACCCTGACAGGACTTGCCTTCAATGTGCGAGTTTGTCGAATTGCCAGCACCAACTGCCTAGCTTAGCCCCCGAGGTCTTCCAAGAGCATGGAAGAGGAACTCTCCAATGAGGTGCACAATCACTACACGGCAGCCAAGGCCCCCTAAAAAGTGCCTTCCGCCACTCGTGCCAGTTGAAGGAAAAGCTGTGGAAGAACGTGTTGTATTGATTCGAAAGCACGCACCAAGTGCTCATTTTCCAGATTCCAGGAATCGGGGAACATGATTGGTCTTGAATCCTGCCACCTGATGTTGTTGGGTGTGGCACGGGTAGGCTCCTCTTACTCTTGCAGGGTAGAATTTTTCGGAACTGTGGGACATCCGGGCATTCTCACTTTGCCTGCGAGATATGCTATGTAACTATACAGTTTTTATACAGTCCAAGAATCATTCATGGCTTATGCAGTTTGCCACAGGAGTTATGCCGGACTACGTGGTTGTTATGTAAGCTCGAGGCATGGCTGTCGCAGTCTCCGATGCTAAAGCATGTGAGGCTCGGGAGGAGAAGAAGGTGCTACAGCGAGAGCTTCAAGCCCGTGAGCATCTCTTATCGGAGCCCCGGCTTTGTCGACTGTAGGTTGAGATGGCACCAGACCTCAGCTGTAATTCTAGGTATAAGCGTGAGACACAAGTAGCTGGAGCATGCCACGTGTCCGTCATTGAAGGTCATGTTGGTGACAACTAGCGCGCTGCAAGAGGATCCTCACTTGTAGCCTTAGTCACGGGGGTGTGCCTCTTGATAGCTGATGGGTTTCTCAAGTGCAGTTTCTTGGACTGGGGATGCCGCAGAATGCTTACGGTTGCAGCTGCTGCCCATAATTATAAAAGAGACGCTGCTCCGACCCACAATACAACACCACACTTCACCAGCGATGAAGGCCTTCGGACGTACTTCTCACCGGCTGATGACTGCGAAGCAGCTGATACAAAGTGGTGCTGCCTCAGACAAGCAGAGGCTGCACGTCAGCAACATGCAGAGTACATTGTTCTTTTGTTTACTCCTACGTACAATGAGGTGTTTTGGGTAGGCCTTTTGTGATGAACTGGTGTGTGTTGGTTCAAGCTGGCTTCACTTATGCTCGATGAAAAGTGGTCATAGTCTTGTAATTGACCATGGTGCGAAAATGTGCGAACTGTTCAACTATACTGTTGCGACTTGTGTCGGTACTGTCGTGGCAAGCACCTCTCATGAACATTGGTGGTCGTCTGAGGTTCCAGCAGCTCAACCAAGAAGTGCAGAAGCTTGGGCAAAGCCCGTCACACACCGAGCTGCAGATCCTCATGAGCAGCTTTGACAACCTGGTCCAGCAGGAGGAGCAGGAACTGACTGAGACTAGGAAGCAGTCAGCCTGCTTTGGTGCCTGCTGTGCCGTCCTCGCTCTCGTGCTCTGTTTCGCTCCAGTACGGAAGCGCCATTCATACTGCCATAAGGATGCCGTGGTCACGGCGGTCTCGCGCCAAGAGCAAGCCGAGTCCCGTGACCAGCACGAGCTGGAAGATCTCAAAGCCAAGATGCTGAAGCTGGACTCGTATGCGCAGACACCAGCCACTGCCACAAAGACTGAGCGCAACAAGCTCGAACGCATCTGTGCTGTGACAATGAGTGGTGTCAAAGCTCGACACTTGCAGCATGAGGTTCAGTGTATAGCAATTCGGTCTGCCATAGCTTTAGTGAGCGAACTGACCCTGCCGTAGCACAACTGGCACTATCGACAGCGTCCAATTCTCGAGACAAAAGCAGATCAGCCTGCTCAAGTTAGCCTTGCAGACTAGTCGAATATCCCGATTCCTTTACATACGGGCTCACGCTTTCGCAGGGCGCTGGCTACCACATCACTGATGCTCCGGCAGTCCAGCAGTGCGTCTGCATGCTGCCATTCCTCGACGGAGCTGTCTTTGCCTTCCTCGTTTGAAGATTCCGAGAGATACACGGCATCACTTTGGGCCGCGCTTTGCTGTGGGGTCAAGATAGAATTTCGGGTGCCTACTTGTGGAAATAGTTGATGACGTACAACCAGTCATGGTGGTTAGGCCATTGGTGCTCTCAAAGCTGCACTATCGTCACTACTACAGATCTCCTGCGAAGGATCCTTCTGTGCATGAGATGGAAGTGAGCTCGCGTGTAGCACGCCATCTTCTTGACTGAGCGGCCAGCCTGGCCATCTCCCAGTCGTTCACTTGCAACAATTTGCAACCGCACGTCCGCCAGAAAGAGTCTTGCTGCCCAATGCTCCCTGGCCTTCCATCCAGGGAGCCTCCTTGCCTCAACTGTGGGAACAGGGTCGCGAGGAGGAGGAAGACTGTGATGCAGCGTCTAGTACTAAGATTTAGGTGTAAGGAAGTCAACAGAACTCATGAAATTCTCATCAGCAACAGTGCCGAAGACGAAACCCAAAAGCCAAGGAGGGCTGGGTTGATGCTCAGCCACTCTCAATCAAGCCACTTCGTTCACTCTCAGGGATTGCACTTCCCTAAGCTGATGCCGTTTCCCTCTGCTAATTCACAAGAAAAAGTGTAATTCGACCCCACTTGTACCAAGGACCCCAAGCGCTGAAAGGCACTCGGACTCGAAGCCTAATGAATTGCCTGTTGGGGAAGCATTAGTCGTGCATGTCTCTACATCCACTGGTAGGCTGGGGCAAGCATTTTGGCCGGGGTCGTGAATATTGCCCGTATACACGGGGGGGGAACAGTTTCTCTTTGTGTGTTTGATTCCCACCTAGGGCCTAGGGTGAATTATCTTGGCCGTCGTCTCGTGGTAGTTTCGTGGTGGTTTCCAGTTGGTTCGTGGTGGACTCGGGGGTGGCCTGGTGGTCTCCGGTCGTTTATAGCAGGATGTGGCAGAGATTTTCTGCAGCCTTCTTCGCAGAAACTTGCGTACAGCCACTCTAGCCTAGCAGCCTTCGGGCGCCATGCAAGCAAGACAGCACAGCCCAACATTGATGAACATCACTTTGCCAGATGAGGGGTGTCAGAAAAAGCTTGGAGTGAAAGCCTCCCATGCCTGTCCACGAAGCCATGATGGGGGCTGGCTGCCATTCAACAGCATGCGTTTGCCATGCTCTGCTGCTCAGATTGGACAACAAAGTATAGTAGCAGTTGCAACGCCGACCGAATTGAGGTAATTAGCTGTGGAACCTAACCGTCTCAACAATCGCGAAATCAGCATAGAGATGAACATAAATGAGCACTTCCACGATGGATCCAGTCCCAGGCTCTGGGATTGCAAGCACTGGTTGAGCACCTGAAGCCTGTTTGGCATATCCTCGTGCCGTACAACTTGCTGAGTGTCTTGTGGCTTGGCTTAGGGCAGCAACAGGTGGAGGTGTCGGTTCTGACAAATGAGACAACGTGCACGTCAGCAACACGCCGTCCAGCCCTTTCGACTCAGGTTCACTCTGGCTGTGCAGCTCTACGGGCCCTTCCTGCGGTCGATGGTCGAATGCGCGGAGCAGGTGAAGCCTGGTGCAAAATTCAGCGGCTCTACTCACTGCGGCAACTCTCACTATGTCCTTTCTGTGGCACAAGCACAAGAGGGCAGGTTAGTTGCAATGAAGCTCTTGGTGCATGCCTTTGCGGGCCCATTGCTTGCACTGTTGGCGGACAGTATGGGGCGTCGCCCTATCTTGCTGCTGGGGTTGACAGGCTTTCTGACAGCATTCCTTTTGTTCGCTTTGGTGGCGTTTCTTCCATCGCTGCATGGGTCTAGCAGCGCAATATCACTTTGCTTCTTCCTGGAGGGTGCTACGAGTGCCTTTGACGTCGTGTTTTTGTCCATGCTTGCAGACACAGCGAAGTCACCTGCAGCTCGCGTCACATCATTCTCCCTCTACTATGTCGCTTGATGCAAGATTAGGAAGGATAAGGCTGCCCTGTTCGGTGCTCCTCTGTTGACAAAAAACTTGTCGTTCTTTTTGGCCCAGGCCACAGGAGCCTTCGGCAACGCCATTGCCATCGGCATGTTCGTGGAAGAGATGAGCTGGGAAGTGAAGGATTTCGGTTTCACATGGGCCTCCATGTCCCTTGCGATGGCGATGCTCATCCTGTGCGCAGGGAACACCACTTCATTCTAACCATTCTGGGAATATTCGTCAGGTTGGGCGCCCTTCTTCTCTGATCATTGCTGGGCTTTTGCCCTGTTGTTGTTGGTTCCCGATCCCTTCCTAGACGCGTTGCGTGTCTCGTGCCGATGATCATGCCATACGGAAAGTGAAGGCGCTTTTTGAAGTGCTCCTAATACTGGTAGCATCTTCGCTAACAGAACACCCCACCCACCATCATTAGCGAGCTGCGATCAACCCCGGACCTATGCGTTGGGGGCTGAAAACAGGGGGAGGTTGCAACAGCCGCAACGGCCTTGAATAGTTGCAAACCAAGGACGTAATCAGAGAATTGGTTATGCTCAGCGGATCTCAGTGCCTGATACGCGCATGTCTTGGACAATGAGCCTGTGCACCAGGTACGTACTGGCCTATGTTCCAGAGACGCTCCCGTCCGCGATGCTTTTGAAGTCGAAGCACTCGAAGCTGAAAGCTCCACACGTACAGCTCATGGGACAGGCAATAGAGCAAATACAGTTCCTGGCATCCAGTCGCTTTCTCCAGATATGGTTGCTGGCCGTGCTTCTAAAGTCTTCGGCATCAGGACTGTCAAGTATCAATGCCTCATTCACTCTGGCTGTATATGGCTGGAAACCTGGAGAATGGCAAGCCTGGATATGGCCCTCCGAGATCATCTCTATGAGTAGTTTGGGTATTTTGGGACCTTGGGCTGGCCGAAAGAAGGCTGAGGCAGTCATTTCTGTCACGGCGCTAGTGTCGGTAGCAGCTCACGTTCTGCAGATGCTGGCACCGTTCCACGCTTTGGCGCTCCTTGGACCCCACTTCATTGCCGGCATCCTGGCGTTTGTGCGGCCAGTTTCAGCTGCGTACCTCAGCGGGCGATTCCCGGCTTCTCAGCAAGCCAAAGTGCAAGCAATCGCCCATCTCAGCCACAACTGCGGCATCTCCCTGTCCATGGCGATCTTCTCATCGCCCCAGCTCTTCAGGCCTCAGGCTCGCGGCTGGGATGCAGCTCGGCCATTCTTGTGCGCCACTCAGTCCTGTTACATCCGAAGCTTCATCAGAATGAGATGTTGCAGCAGCCGTTTCTTCTCGTCGCAATCCTGCCCGATGTTCAGCAGTCTCAAGCCTGCAGGTGAGGTCATCACTAAGCACGTCATTGTGCGTGGTACGTGCTTCTCTCAAACCGCAGAAAGAAGCTCCTAGCGCGCCATTGGAGATGTTCATGTACACGAGTTGGGCCCAGCCAAACCTAGCAAAGTTTGTTTGGATTCTTGTATACTGGGCAGCCATGCAGTCGCGACATCGATCATGCCGACGACGCATTGCCCAAGTCAGCCGGCCTCTGGGCTCAATGCAAGGTTTTCAGGTCCAGCATCTCACAAGTCAGAATGGTTTATATATGTTTATATGATTAACGATGTTTAAAATAAAAACCTGGCAATAAGAATAAGACTAATCATGGCAGAATGAAGTTTGTTGCAGCGAGTTGTCAGGCAGCTCGTTTGGCTGCTCTGTGCCTCTGCCTTTCTCAAGTATTCGACCTGCGTCTTCATCGGTCGCTTGACTGGATTTGGATGTGGGGAAACCGAGGCTTGCAGTACGGGGTTATCGGCTTTGGCTGTCGTTAGGCAGCCACGAACATCAGAAGACACATGACATGTGAAGTCCACTGGGAGGAAGGGAACCGATTGCATCGGTTTTGGCGCCAGTCCAAGGTGAGCCAGGGCGGCGTGCCCTGCTTTTGAACCTGGGCCTTTGGCTCCCGCTGCCGGCGCAAGCAGCCTTCGAGAATGCGTTGCTGGAAGAAATTTGAAAGATTTTCTGATATTCTGAGTTGTCTGAGTTTTGACATAGAGTCATTCTGAGTCTTGAAGCCGAGGCACTACCTAAGGCTTAGCTAGGGAACCCGGGCGCCGCAATGCAAGCAGCCAGGAACCTGGACGTACGGAATTCTAGTTCAGATAGGGGAGATGCAGTTGGCTCTGCTGCCCTTCGCCTTCAACTGGACTAGATACTTATATACATGGCCCCAGCTATGTAATTCCTACATAGTTTGCAATGACCTCATGAACGGTGATGTTGTCGTCGTGCCCATTTCATGCTCGGATCTGCAAGCTCTTTGCCATGGAGAGGCTTCCGGAGGTTGCCAAGTTCCCCGACAAGAGAACGCCTGGCAACAAGCCAGACGATCTGGGGTTGCAACCTCGCACGCTGACGCGTGTCATTGACAGTTGACCTGTGGTTTCCCTTGGTTGCGCCAGGGGCTGGGCTAGTGACAGGCCAATTGCAGTATGCGTGCGTGTGCTTGGCCCCGCATTTATCCCATCTCAAGATCAGGAATCGCTTCGGCGACAAATCCGATGGGCCTGTGCTGAAGGGTTGCGGCTACGGGCCGAACTGTTTCTCTACGACTGGCGACCCCGAGGTGCCAGCTCCGCCGAGTGTGTTTGTGATTCATTGCGCCTGTTCTGGCAGGACCCGCAGATCACTACATTGCTCCAACCGTGGAAGATACCAGATGGCGCCAGTGTGGCAGATGCCTCTGCGCAGCTCGAAGAGACAGTCCGTGCATATCCGCCAGGTGGGCCTCATGACTGATGACGAAAGCCGTTCGTCACACCTGAACACTTTGCAATGGATGTGAGGTCAACAAAAGGTTGATGGAGGCGGGTTCCAAGTTGTCAAAGCTGGCTCGGATGGCTACCTGTATGCCCAGTTCGAGAGCTTGAAGACTCTCACTCCGGGAACAGTCAGCTTCGGAATCTCTGAGACGCGCAACTTCATTGTTGAACGACCGGAGCACAACCAAGGAAAGGCAAGATTGACGATGTCGAGTTTGCAATAAACAAGGATCGGATTTGCATGGCGTTCCCACACCTGACGGCTTGTCAGCAGACCGATTGAGCGAGAGACCTATAGCCTATAGGCAAGAACAACGAGCATCAAGGCATCATGAGCAGTCCAACAAGTTTTGCTAGGATGGCACGGTTCAAGTGCGGGCCTCCGGACGCATCGGCCTCAAAGCCGATTATGGCTCCAACGAAGCCTGGCTGAGTATTTCAGAATGAATGGCCAATTTGGCAAGTACTGGATGTTTTGCGTTTCCAGCTAGTCGAACCTCAAATGTGCTCGCCACAGAAGAGATCATTACTGAGAACCTGTGAAAGTGAACTCCTGAAGCTCCAGCATGTAGTGTTGTGCGCAAGCAGTTCTTCCCAGGCCAAACGATTGAATTATATTTCGGAGCGGCTTGGATATATCAACCTCGGAAGATTCTGCATCACAGCACGTGGCTAGCATAGTTGTTTAATGGTGGGGTTCACTTCCAGCTTCAACTTCAGTGCTCAGGCAACTACGAGCAAAAGGCTGGACAGCTCCGGTGATCACGAATCTTGGAAGTCCAAAGCGATCGCAATGCCCAAGATTCTCCTGCCCAAAGCGCCAGAGGTCAGAGGGCCATAGAAAAGCTTCCAAGCGGCAACTTCCCTCGCCGCCACAACTCTCAGCTCGGCCTGGGGTTGTCCCAATATACTCCATTTATTGCCCGCACTTGCCCGCCATGCCCCCGAGGAAAGACACACACGCATATTATTTCGCGATGAACTCTGGCAAGACGAAGGTGGCAGCTGCTGTGGCTATGGGTACTAACAAGAGTGACCTGCGCTTTGCGGTACCCTTTGCCTGACAGTCCGACACTGTCTTGCAGTCTGTTACTGTAGCAATAGCTGCCGGACAGAAGAGCATATGAGCTTCTGATTGGCTGGCAGTTTCAGTGCGTTGGGATCGATTGCCCGGTGAACTACGAACTTTGATTGCAAGCCAGTTTGTGGCCTGGATCTTGCATGGCAGTCTACAGTGTTCCCGTACATGTACCAAGGAACTTATCGAAGAGGCCTGACCGCTCCTACACTTTGTGCACGTGTTTTTGTTAAGGATGTGCGTCCGAAAGCTTATGTAGCTCTTCACTTAGCTGCCAGGAACCTGGACCGGGCGACAGCGAGTGAGGATGGCTTTCATTCGAAGCTGCGGCCAAGGAAGTCAAAAAGAGTGCCAAATGGCATTGCAAGACAGACGAGGTCGACTGCCTTCAGCTACAGGCCGTATGGGGCCCTTCGAGTCTGATGCTGTTCACCAAGGTTCGCCGGCATCCTGTCCACGATCGGCAATCTAACGAAGATGTTTCTGGTTTGATCCCTAGCGACTTTCCTACGCCAAGCGTTACTTGCCACCCCCAGGGGCCCCTGAGCAGAGCTCAGGTGCAGCAAGCCCAACGCACAGCTTGGGCCTCGGCTCAGGGGTTCTTCCAGGGGATTCCAGCATGGGGGTAATTTCTGCCTTGGGATTCTTCGTCGGGTCTTGCGGGTGCAGTTGCTCCTTTCGGATGTGGGCGATGGGCGAAGATGGAAGACCAGCGCTTAGTGGAAAGCGCCGTCATGTACCGCCCATTGTCGTGGATTCCGCTGCGTTTAAAGGAAGTTATACATGGTTACTGGGCGGGTGTTTGCATTGAGACCCTTCGCATTAGCCACCCTTTAACTCACTGGCAGATCTGGCCATGGTGTCCAAAACTCTAGAGCAGTTATCAGCACTAGAAATGTTGATACGGGCCAGGTCATTCAGTATATACATGTTGTTGCATGTCGGTGGCATGGCGCCTCTCGCTGCCGGTGCGTCAGCAGGGCGGATCCCGCTAACTGCGGCAGCTGGGCAACAGACTGTTTGATTGTTTTGAGACGAGCTGCGGGAAGTGCTGTGCATCCGGACTTGAGCTGGCGGCTGCTTGCGGATTCTCTCAGCGAGTCGCTCTTTCGCGGGGCCATGCAGGGTTAACGGCTAACAAAGCTGAGGCACCCCATGTCTAGCACGACTTTGGGCGAAGATGAGAGCAGGATTTGTGGCCTGGTCTTGAATCTTGATCACTTGACACTCGTGATTCCCTGGTGATAACGTCACCCTGCACCACCGGTATAATGTACCAATCTATATAATTCCATATAGCAGCTAGGCCTGCCGGCTGCCTGAGCATTTGAACCCTCACGGAAACTGAGGCGTCGCCGTTCGCTGCAGACCGCACCCTGGCTTCACGAGATGAGTTTCCAAGTCCGAGCAGGGCTTTGTTGAATCTCCGGTCTCAGATTGCAGAAGTAGCAGAAGTCTTCCCGAATCACACTGGATTGCACGGCGGACGACCTGCCTGTTGATCACTGTTGATGCAGCTGGATGAACCGTTGTCGACTCAAAGTGGGTATTGGTCTCGTCAGACACAGCCACGGCCACAGGAACTCGAATGGGCCCCAGGCTATGACAAGGCTCACCCAGATTTTTCTCCGTGCTTTGACTTGTGAGGCTGTCAGACGCGGAGCGGAACCATGAGGTCTTTGACGTCTGCAGAGCCCGGATCTCGACGTGGTCACAGTACAGTAGTGGCACCGTACTTGTTGTTCGTTTGAGGGTGACTTCCTGGCCGGGGGTTGAGGTCGCTGCAATTGGCGGGTTTGGATTTTTGCGACATGATATGGGCGGGGAGGACAAGTTATGAGTTGAGGGTTGGAGGAATGATATAATGGAAGGCTGGGGGGGGATGCGGAGGCCTTCCGGAGCAAAGCAATATGACAATGCAGGCACATGTGCATGTAGTCACCAACGTAGTCTTTCTTAGTCGGCATTGACTTTCCCCTGCTACCTCCTTTCATTCTTCATTCTTCTTGCTGCGTTCCTTTGCCAATCACTGACATTCTGTGTTCTTTGATTTGTATGCCTGCTCTGGGTTCTGAACGGCAACTCAAGTACAAATACACGAAGTACACGTCCCAAGATCACATGCCCACGCGCTCAGATCATGGACCGCCGCTTGGTCATCCTTTTGGACCCTGGTGCTGCAGCTGGACTTGTCAGGGAGGGTGGGGGGAGGTGGCGCAAAAGCGTTCATTTGTCCTTCACTCAGCTTTATATATCAGGTAGTGCTTGTGAAACGCCTCAGGCATCGAATGACTACCTCAGACACGACAAGTCCAAGGACAGGGGTGCTCATGTAGCCTCTACAGATGGACTTGAGTTCATTGCCAATTCTTAAAACCAATGTTGGACCCACGAAATGCCTGTCAACCTGCAGGAAAAAAGGTTTGCTTTCGACCAAGCTTTCGGCGCAGATACAGAGACTGAGACTGTTTCAGAGCAATTTGCTTTCAGGCTGATGTTTTCTGCAAGTGGCAGTAGAAGCGAAAGCCTTGTGCAGTGGAACAGTTGCGACAAGGACAATGGAGTCCTCTTCAGTGCGACAGCAGAGCCTCTGATAGGCCCAGCAGTGAAAAGTTCAGAGCACTAGGGGATTGATTCTCTGCCGCTACGGGGGTCTATTATGTCTACTTAGGACTTAAGCTGTTCTCTGCTTGCATCATGAGAAACAGAGAAGCTTGACCCTGTTCACGTCCCCTGCAGACAGCGTCCTGGCCGGCCGCTCGCGTTGCAGCTTCAGGAAAGAATACAACGCAGAGCTTTTTTTGTGTCTTATATTATTTTCTGGTTGTCTCAGCATAAGCTTGATCGCCGCTTAAATGACACCATTGCCTCACGCTGCCCAACAAAGTGTGAGGCCTAAACTGCAGCGTGTTCGCTTACGGCGCAACGGGAGCTGGCAAGACCTTTACGATGCATCTTGGCACAAGTCTTACATCTGCAGCTGGCCGCGAGCTGCTGCGCTTTTGGTCCCCGTATGTGTGCTTGGGCTGGAATTTGTGCTCTATCCATGCCCAAACTGGGCTCAGGATCGGCACTCCTGGCGAACCAGGTGTCATGTTCCGCACAGTTGCCGGCCTGTTCGCCAGATCAGCTCCTGGACAGGACCACGGCGTCTCTGTTGCTTGATCCCTGCCTGCAGTTGGGCAGCTTTATCGTTTTGCTCTCCGTATGCGGCTGCACAACTTACTGTAGACTTCACGAAAGCTTTCGGCTGGCCTGATCGCAATTCATGCAGGCTCCTTCGTGGAAGTCTACAACGAGGTGCTGCGGGACTTGGGCTCCCGAGACGGCCGAGAAGGGATGCTGGACTTGCGGGAGGATCCGATCACAGGAGCACTGCTGACCTGTATCCGCAAGAGCTGCGAAGTCAATTGTTGTTGCTTGCAACCGCCCTGAGCTTTGCTCGGGACCGGAGCAAAGCAGTACATCAAGTGCTGCTGACCCTGCAGCTCCCACAAGTACAACTACTACTACCACCACTACTACCACTACCTCCACTATGACGACGACCACGACTACTCTTACTATTTACTGCCACCGGTCTACTGCTACTCCACCTCCAAAAGAGCAGTAGCAGTAGTCGTGGTAGTGGGCAGCAGCAGCAGCAGTGGTGCCAGTGGTACTGGTGGTGGAAGTGGTAGTAGCAGCAGGAGTACTGCAAGCTACTGCTGATTGAATCTTGCCGGGCGAACTCGAATTGCTTTAGTTGAGGAGGGGGAATGAATACCAGGGAGGGACGACTACAGTCGTTGTTACACAAACTTTGTTCTTCCTATCGCTCTCGCTCTCTCTCTGGTGTTATTGTTTTTGTTGTGTTTGTCCACGCCGGTTCTTGTCGGTCACTATCCTACCCGCTTCTGCCTATCTCTGCCTGCCTGCCTGCCTGTCGTCCCTCTACCCGTCTTTAGGTCAATGTCTCTCTGTTGTTTGTCAGCTTGCTTGACATTTCTTGACTGTCCCTCGTCGTTACTCTCCCCCCCCCCCGCCGCTTGTCCCTGGCTGGAGTTGTCCTGGTCATGTTTGATCGGTCGTCGACTTCAGTGGCGCTGATCGCCAGGACCCTCGCTGGCCGGCGTTACCGAGATCCAGGCCTGCTCTCAACATCGTAGCCCGAGATCATCTTTGGATCTCGCTGCCTTGGCAGGCACAGTCCGTCCAGCAGGTTATGGAGTTGCTGCAACAGGGCAACCAACGAAGAACTACTGAGCCAACGGCCCGAGCCTCAAGAACATTCAAGAACACATTGAACTTCACTAGTTCTTTTATTCTTTTACTGTCAGTTGATCCCCGGCTGAGGCGATGAACGTGACCTCCTCGCGGTCTCATGCAGTGTTTCAGGTGAGGGTGGAGCGTCGAGATCCCAAGAACCCCGAAGGAGGAGGGACAGTTGGCAAACTCTCTATGATCGATCTGGCCGGGTCGGAGAGGGCTTCCCAGACGCACAACAGCGGCCTTCGGTTACTGGAGGGGGCCAACATTAATCGCTCGCTACTGGCACTTGGCAATTGCATTAATGCTTTGGCCTCCGGCTCTGGCTTCGTCCCATTCCGAGATTCGAAGTTGACCAGGCTACTGAAGGACTCTTTAGGTGGAAACTGCCGGACGATGATGATTGCCAACATCTCACCGAGCCATCTGAGCTATGAAGACACCCTGAACACGTTGAAGTACGCCAACCGTGCCAAAAACATCCGAGTCAGCACCTCGCAGAACCTGATTCAGCCAGACGACCACGTCAGAGCCTCGTTGGCAAATAACCAGCAGCCTGGAGTGAATTCACTGCACGACTAGTGCATGACATGAGAGTCACATGTGGAAGCTGTGAAGCTCACCACAGTGAGCGAGCTCGTGCGTGTGCTTCGCAATTGAGCCTGGGTGTCGACATTACCTACCCATTGCCCAGCATGACATTCATATCGGAGTGCCAACGTAGAGTTTCTGCGGATGATGCAAGATCAGCTCGCCCCATGTGGAGTGGAGGAGCTGCAGAGGGAGATGATCGCATAAGCTTGAAGCCGGAGACATCCGGAGCTTTTGAACACGATGTCATTACTTGGTTTCAGGCGGGTTACGACTTCATTAGAAGTACTTTGCCTGTGACGGTGACTGCCCACTGTCTTTGCACTTCTCAGTGCGCAGTACCAAAGCTGTTAAAGGTCCTGACTTGACACACCTGCATGTTCTGCCCCGTCCTTGAGACTTTCCCGGAAATAAGCAGAGCGGAGAAGGGGTCTGCTGAATTCGTTGCCCAGGACAGTACGAGCATGCCATTTCGGACCTCCGACAGGAGGCCGATCTATGAGTGAGCCCTTGCACGCAAGGCACAGTGTGGAACAGTCGCCTGCTGCTTCGAGGCGGCACTTCTGAAAGCCAAGCTGGTGCAGCGGGCGGCGACGCAGCAGCTGCAGGACTTGGAGGTTCCTCCGGGTCTCGGGTTTGGCTCTGAGAATTGCAACTTGCCGTTTTGAGACGCGAAGTCTCTTGCATGTAGCAAGCAGCTTCCCTTTCGGGCTGCAGGCGGAGAAGGAGGTCGGCGGGG